CCGAGGGGGAGAGGCCGGAAAGCAATCAGAGGAAGGAAGGCAAAAATCGAAGGAGTCAGTCGACCCCCAAAACCTAAAGCGGGTGAGGAAACAGCACCGGCAAGGGGTACAGGGGGCTTTGGGGGGGGGGGTGAGAGTGGTCCAAAAAGACGAGGGGGGGTCAAACGGGGGTGGGGGTATCAAAAGGGGGCCGGGGGGTAGCATTTTCAGGACAAGGCTGCCCAGGTTTAGTTACTCTTTCTTTTTTTTTTTTAAGAAAAAAAAAGAAAGAAAAAAAATAAAAATAAAAAAAAAAAAAAAAAGGGGGAAACCGGGGAGGGATAGTTCCTAAAGGAATGAAACCCCCAAAGTCTCCCCCGCGCCCAAGAGGACCTCGCTCGCAATAGCGCAATGCAGCAGGAACCCGTGCCAACCCTCCCCATCATCCCAGTAAACCGCACCCGGGATAGAAACCTCACATCTGCCGATTTACCCGGTGGACAAAAAAGAGGGCGGCCGGAAATTCCGCCACAAAGCATCCTCCTTGGGCCACCACCCCCGGAATCCGAAAGGTGGTTTCCCAGAGATACACCCGTCGCCCGGGAAAAGACACCCAAAGCCACCCCCCCGGATCCCGGGGGGGGGGGGAGAGGGATCAGGACTCCCCAGGAAATCCAGATTCCACGGCAACTACGCCACCCCAAGAACCTCAAGGGAATGGGATGGACCCCGGTACCATTTTCCCCTACCTGGGAACTAGCGTCCCTTTAAAAAAAAAAAAAAGGCCAAAAAGGAAGGAAAAAGGGGAGGGTGGGGAGGGGGAGGGGGAAAAGGGAAAAAAGGGGGAGGAGGGGATAGGGAACGGGGGAATTGGGGGGAATTAGTTCGGTCTGAGGAATAGACCAACGGGTCTAATTCCTCAGACGAAGAGCCTCTTCACCACCCAAGGACCCCCCCGAAAGGTGCCCCCCCCCAAGGGGGGGTTCCTTGACACCCCCTCAAGGGGAAATTCCTTGACCCCCCCCTCAAGGGGAATCCTTGACAAACCCCCCCCAAGGGGAAGTTTCCTTGACCCCCCCCCCTCAAGGGAGGCTCCTTGACAACCCCCCCCTCAAGGGGGGCTCCTTGACACCCCCCTCAAGGGAGGCTCCTTGACACCCCCCTCAAGGGAGGCTCCTTGACACCCCCCTCAAGGGAGGCTCCTTGACACCCCCCTCAAGGGAGGCTCCTTGACACCCCCCTCAAGGAGGCTCCTTTTACACCCCCCCAAGGGAGGGTCCTTGACACCCCCCTCAGGGAGGCTCCTTGACACCCCCTCAGGAGGCTCCTTGACACCCCCTCAAGGGAGGCTCCTTGACCCCCCCCTCAAGGGAGGCTCCTTGACACCCCCTCAAGGGAGGCCCCCTTGACACCCCCCCCCCCCAAGGGGGGCTCCTTGACACCCTCCTCAAGGGGGCTCCTTGACAACCCCCCCCCAAGGAGGGTTCCTTTACAAAACCCCCCCCAAGGGAGGGTCCTTGACACCCCCCCTCAAGGGGGGCTCCTTGACACCCCCCCAAGGGGGGCTCCTTTACACCCCCCCAAAAGGGGCTCCCTTACACCCCCCTCAAGGGGGGCTCCTTGACCCCCCCCCTCAAGGAGGGCCCCTTTAAACCCCCCCCCTCAAGGGGGGCTCCTTGCACCCCCCCCTCAAGGGGGGCTCCTTTACACCCCCCTCAAGGGAGGCTCCTTGACACCCCTCTCAAGGGAGGCTCCTTGACACCCCTCTCAAGGGAGGCTCCTTGACACCCCCCTCAAGGGAGGCTCCTTGACACCCCCCTCAAGGGAGGCTCCTTGACACCCCCCTCAAGGGAGGCTCCTTTACACCCCTTCAAAGGGAGGGTCCTTTACACCCCCCTCAAGGGGGGCTCCTTGACACCCCTCCAAGGGGGGCTCCTTGACACCCCCCCAAGGGGGGCTCCTTACACCCCCCCCCAAGGGGGCTCCTTGACACCCCCCCCCAAGGGAGGCTCCTTGACACCCCCCCTCAAGGGAGGCCCTTACACCCCCCCCCCCAAGGGGGGCTCCTTGACACCCCCCTCAAAGGGAGGGGCCCTTTACACCCCCTCAAGGGGGCTCCTTGACAAAAACCCCCCCAAGGGAGGCTCCTTTTACACCCCCCCCCCCCCCAAGGGGGGCCCTTGACACCCCCCCCAAGGGAGGTTAATTTATATCAGGTAAGGGTCTGCTTTGCCCTGGGGATGCGTCTATTATGGAAAACTCTACTGTTGCCATGGTAAACCCCAGTCTTACCACTTATGGAACACGTCTACGTTGACTGGGAACGCATTCTTTGCATTTAACACTCTACTGTTGCCATGGTAGCGCGTCTACTGTTGCCATAGTAACACTCTAATGTTGCCAGGTAAGCATCTATCTTGCTATGGTTAACGTATCTGCGGAGTGAGAAAGCACTCAAATACGTCAGCAAAAAATATCAATGGCACTTGTTGTTACCAACAACTCTCTTGGGGTTATTAATATCTAAAATTAATAATACGAAGAAATTTTTCATCTTTCTTCTCTCTTACGAAGAACAGAAGTCAAAATATCGTAGCTGGGAAAAAATTCCTAATAACCTGCATTTTTCAACAGGAAACTTATACGAGTTTTTTTTATTTCTGACCCCTGTCCTTACAGTAACAAGGTAGTCCAGGATGGTCCAGGTGGCTGCTCTTGTGGTCCAGGTAGTCTGGGGTGGTCCAGATGGTCCAGGAATGTCCACGTGACCCAGGTTTTCTATGTGGCCCAGGTTTTTTAGGTGGCCCACGCTGTCCAGGATGGTTCAGGTAGTCCAGGATGGTCCAAGGGGCCCAGGTTTTCTAGGTGGTCCAGGTAGCCCATGTTCAGGATTGTCCAGACCGAAACATCGTCAAAAGGTTCACTAGTTCGGGTTGTTTGTGAATCCTGTGTTACCTTAGTGTTAGCCGGTCACCAACTCTTATCTGGTATACGTGACTCTCGTGATGGGCTCTTGTTCCAAGGAATTAATTATAATAATATGTTTATTACTACCAGTACATGTACAAGGTATAAAGACCACAGCTGACATCAGTGACATACTACTATATAGAAAGTCACTTGTTATATTGAGCATTTCCCGCAAATTAGGTAAATTTTGTCCCCAGGATGCGACCCACACCAGTCCACTAACACCCAGGTACCTACTCACTGCTAAGTGAACATGAACAGCAGATGTACGGTGACTAACGCCCAAGAACCTGCTCACTGCTAGGTGAACATGGACAGCACGTGTAAGGTGACTAAAACCAAGGTACCTACTTCTAGGTGAAATGGACAGCAGGTGTAAGGTGACTAACACCCACGTACCTACTTCTAGGTGAATATGGACAACAGGTGTAAGGTGACTAACACCCAGGTACCTACTTTTAGGTGAACTTGGACAGCAGGTGTAAGGTGGCTAACACCCAGGTACCTACTTCTAGGTGAACATGGACAGCAGGTGTAAGGTGACTAACACCCAGGCACCTACTTCTAGGTGAATATGGACAACAGGTGTAAGTTGACTAAAACCCAGGTACCTACTTCTAGGTGAGCATGGACAGCAGGTGTAAGGTGACTAACACCCAGGTACCTACTCACTGCTAGGTGAACATGGACAGCAGGTGTAAGGTGATTAACACTCAGGAACCTGCTTACTGCTAGGTGAACATGGACAGCAGGTATAAAGTGACTAACACCCAGGAACCTGCTTGCTGCTAGGTGAATATGGACAGCAGGTGTAAGGTGACTAACGCCCAGGAACCTGCTTACTGCTAGATGAACATGGACAGCAGGTATAAGATGACTAACACCCAGGAACCTGCTTACTGCTAGGTGAATATGAACAGCAGGTGTAAGGTGACTAACACCCAGGAACCTGCTTAATGCTAGGTGAATATGGACAGCAGGTGTAAGGTGACTAACACCCAGGTACCTACTTCTAGGTGAATATGGACAGTAGGTGTAAGGTGACTAAAACCCAGGTACCTACTTCTAGGTGAGCATGGACAGCAGGTGTAAGATGACTAACACCCAGGTACCTACTCACTGCTAGGTGAACATGGACAGCAGGTGAAAGGCGATTAACAACCAGGAACCTGCTTACTGCTAGGACAGACTAGGTGAACATGGACAGCAGGTGTAAGGTGACTAACGCCCAGGAACCTGCTTACTGTTAGGTGAACATGGACAGCAGGTGTAAAGTGACTAACGTCCAGGAACCTGCTTACTGCTAGGTGAACATGGACAGCAGGTGTAAGGTGACTAACGCCCTGGAACCTGCTTACTGCTAGGTGAACATGGACAGCAGGTGTAAGGTGACTAACGCCCAGGAACCTGCTTACTGCTAGGTGAATATGGACAGCAGGTATAAGATGACTAACACCCAGGAACCTGCTTACTGCTAGGTGAATATGGACAGCAGGTGTAAGGTGACTAACACCCAGGAACTTGCTTACTGCTGGGTGAATATGGACAGCAGGTGTAAGGTGACTAACACCCAGGAACCTGCTTACTGCTAGGTGAACATGGACAGCAGGTATAAGGTGACTAACACCCAGGAACCTGCTTACTGCTAGGTGAATATGGACAGCAGGTATATGGTGACTAACGCCCAGGAACCTGCTTACTGCTAGGTGAACATGGACAGCAGGTATAAGGTGACTAACACCCAGGAACCTGCTTACTGCTAGGTAAACATGGACAGCAGGTGTAAGGTGACTAACGCCCAGGAACCTGCTTACTGCTAGGTGAAGATGGACAACAGGTGTCTTAACGGAACACTGCCTGATGTTTCACCCGTCCTGGAGATCGAACTACGGACCTCAATGTTTGAGCTGAGTGTGCTACCAACCCAGCCACGGGACACCTATGTTTCCATGTACAATAATTGTGTTCCTGTACCTAAATAAACTTACTTATATTACAGTATATTACTTTATATTATTTAATATTAACATTAAATAAGGGTACGGCTCAGGCTGTGGTGGCCCTTAATAAGACTAACAATAATTCCTGTCTCAGTTTTCAGCTTTTATTATAAACTCGTATGACCCATTGGGGTTTAGCGCGTCCCAGTGAAGATAATCTTGATTATCAAGAGGGTAAGTTGATGACAGGTGTGTCAGTAAAGGTGATTATCAAGAGGGTAGGTTGATATATGGTTATTAAAGTGATTACAGATGTTAGTGTCTTGATGCCGGTGAAGGACTCAATAATAATAATAATAATAATAATAATAATAATAATAATAATAATAATAATAATAATAATTGGGGCTATCCAGGGGCATGAGAGGTTTGATACAAGGAAGGGAAGGTTAGCACCGGTTCCTTGGATCAAGAGCCCCTTCTCCACCCTTCAGAGGGTGGTGAGGGGCTCTTGATCCAATGAATGGGAATCGTCCTTTCCTCACAAGTTGTATGACTTACGGGTTTAGCACTTTACAGTGTCAGTTCAGTGTCTCAGTCTATCATGAACGGGTGTCTATCATGGGAAAAAATCTGTAAGTGACTCGTAGGTTACGTCTAAAGGCCTATGGTGGAGCACAGTAGTAGGCCTATGGTGGAGCACAGTAGTAGGCCTATGGTGGAGCACAGTAGTAGGCCTATAGTGGAGCACAGTAGTAGGATTATGGTGGAGCACAGTAGTAGTCTTATGGTGGAGCACAGTAGTAGTCTTATGGTGGAGCACAGTAGTAGTCTTATGGTGGAGCACAGTAGTAGTCTTATGGTGGTTCACAGTAGTAGTCTTATGGTGGAGCACAGTAGTAGTCTTATGGTGGAGCACTGTAGTAGTCTTATGGTGGAGCACAGTAGTAGTCTTATGGTGGAGCACAGTAGTAAATCCTTATGGTGGAGCACAGTAGTAGTCTTATGGTGGAGCACAGTAGTAATCTTATGGTGGGGCACAGTAAATAGTCTTATGGTGGAGCACAGTAGTAGTCTTATGGGAAGCACAGTAGTATCTTATGGTGGAGCACAGTAGTAGTCTTATGGTGGAGCACAGTAGTAGTCTTATGGTGGGAGCACAGTATAGTCTTATGGGGGAACACAGTAGTAGTCCCTTTTGTTGGGGCACAGTAGTAGTCTTATGGGGGAGCACAGTAGTAGCTTATGGTGGAGCACAGTAGTAGTCTTATGGTGAAGCACAGTAGTAGTCTTATGGTGGAGCACCAGTAATAGTCTTATGGGAGCACAGTAGTAGTCTTATGGTGGAGCACAGTAGTAGTCTTATGGTGGGGCACAGTAGTATGGCTTATGTGGAGCACAGTAGTAGTCTTATGGTGGAGCACAGTAGTAAATCTTAAGGTGGAGCACACAGTAGTCTTATGTTGGAGCACAGTAGTAGTCTTAAAGGTGGAGCACAGTAGTAGGCTTATGGTGGGGCACAGTAGTAGGCTATGGTGAGCACTGTAGTAGTCTTATTTTGGAGCACAGTAGTATCTTATTGGTGGAGCACAGTAGTAGTCTTATGGTGGAGCACAGTAGTAGTCTTATGGTGGAGCACAGTAGTAGCTTATGGTGGAGCACAGTAGGTACTTATGGTGGAGCACGTAGTAGTCTTATGGTGGAGCACAGTAGTAGTCTTATGGTGGAGCACAGTAGTAGTCTTATGGTGGAGCACTGTAGTATTATGGTGGAGCACAGTAGTAGTCTTATGGTGGAGCACAGTAGTAGTCTTATGGTGGAGCACAGTAGTATTATGGTGGAGCACAGTAGTATTATGGTGGAGCACAGTAGTAGTCTTATAGTGGAGCACAGTAGTATTATGGTGGAGCACAGTAGTATTATGGTGGAGCACAGTAGTAGTCTTATGGTGGAGCACAGTAGTAGTCTTATGGTGGAGCACAGTAGTATTATGGTGGAGCACTGTAGTAGTCTTATGGTGGAGCACAGTAGTAGTCTTATGGTGGAGCACAGTAGTATTATGGTGGAGCACAGTAGTAGTCTTATGGTGGAGCACAGTAGTAGTCTTATGGTGGAGCACAGTAGTAGTCTTATGGTGGAGCACAGTAGTAGGCTATGGTGGAGCACAGTATTAGGCTTATGGTGGAGCACTGTAGTAGTCTTATTGTGGAGCACAGTAGTAGTCTTATGGTGGAGCACAGTAGTAGTCTTATGGTGGAGCACAGTAGTAGGCTTATGGTGGAGCACAGTAGTAGTCTTATGGTGGAGCACAGTAGTAGTCTTATGGTAGAGCACTGTAGTAGGCTTATGGTGGAGCACAGTATTAGTCTTATGGTGGAGCACAGTAGTAGTCTTATGGTGGAGCACAGTAGTAGGCTTGTGGTGGAGCACAGTAGTAGGCTTATGGTGGAGCACAGTAGTAGTCTTATTGTGGAGCACAGTAGTAGGCTTATGGTGGAGCACAGTAGTAGGCTTATGGTGGAGTGCAGTAGTAGTCTTATGGTGGAGCACAGTAGTAGTCTTATGGTGGAGCACTGTAGTAGTCTTATGGTGGAGCACAGTAGTAGGCTTATGGTGGAGCACAGTAGTAGTCTTATGGTGGAGCACAGTAGTAGGGTTATGGTGGAGCACAGTAGTAGTCATAAGAACATAAGAAAGGAGGAACACTGCAGGAGGCCTGTTGGCCCATACTAGGCAGGTCCTTTACAATTCATCCCACCAACAAAACATTTGCCCAACCCAATTTTCAGTGCCACCCAAGAAATAAGCTCTGATGTGAATGTCCCACTCAAATCCAACCCCTCCCACTCATGTACTTATCCAACCTAAATTTGAAACTACCCAAAGTCCCAGCCTCAATAACCCAACTAGGTAGATGGTTCCACTCATCTACTACCCTATTTCCAAACCAATACTTTCCTATGTCCTTTCTAAATCTAAACTTATCTAATTTAAATCCATTACTGCGGGTTCTCTCTTAGAGAGACATCCTCAAGACCTTATTAATATCCCCTTTATTAATACCTATCTTCCACTTATACACTTCGATCAGGTCTCCCCTCATTCTTCGTCTAACAAGTGAATGTAACTCAAGAGTCTTCAATCTTTCTTCATAAAGGAAGATTTCTAATGCTATGTATTAATTTAGTCATCCAAACGCTGAATGTTTTCTAATGAATTTATGTCCATTCTGTAATATGGAGACCAGAACTGAGCTGCATAATCTAGGTGAGGCCTTACTAATGATGTATAAAGCTGCAGTATGACCTCTGGACTTCTGTTGCTTACACTTCTTGATATAAATCCCAGTAATCTATTTGCCTTATTACGTACGCTTAGGCATTGCTGTCTTGGTTTAAGGTTGCTGCTCACCATAACTCCCAAGTCCTTTTCGCAATCTGTATGGCTAAGTTCTACATCATTTAACTTATAAGTACTAGGGTTATGGGCACTCCCAAGCTTCAGAACCTTGCATTTATCTACATTGAACTGCATCTGTCACTTTTCTGACCAAGAATAGAGTTTGTTTAAATCCTCCTGAAGTTCCATAACATCTACGTTTGAATCAATTAAACCTACCTATCTTTGTGTCATCAGCGAATTTGCTCATATCACTAGTAATTCCCTCATCAAGATCATTGATATGTATTATAAACAACAAAGGGCCCAAGACTGATCCCTGTGGAACGCCACTTGTTACAGATCCCCACTCGGATTTAACCCCATTTATGGACACTCTGCTTCCTGTCAGTGAGCCATGACTCGATCCACGAGAGCACTTTTCCCCCAATGCCATGAGCTGCCACTTTCTTTAACAGTCTATGGTGCGGAACTCTATCAAAAGCCTTACTAAAATCTAAGTAAATATTATCAAATTCTTTATCGTGGTCAACAGCCTCAAAAGCTTTACTGAAGAAAGTTAATAAATTAGTTAGACAAGACCGGCCTCTTGTGAATCCATGCTGAATATCATTAATCAAGCTATGCTTATCGAGATGGCTTCTTATAATCTCAGCTATAATTGACTCTAGTAATTTGCCTACAATTGAGGTCAGGTTTATTGGGCGGTAATTTGACGGTAACGACTTGTCCCCTGTTTTAAAAATACGAATTACATTAGCCATCTTCCACATATCAGACACTACACCTGTTTGAAGAGATAAATTAAAAATATTAGTTAATGGTTCACAGAGTTCCATTTTGCATTCCTTAAGAACCCTTGAAAAAACCTCATCAGGACCCAGCGACTTATTTAGCTTCAGTCTGTCTATCTGCTTCACAACCATTTCACTAGTGACTGTGATGTTACATAATTTATCTTCTTCTAGCCCACTATAAAAATTAATTACTGGAATATTGTTAGTGTCTTCCTGTGTAAAAACTGAGAGAAAATAATTATTAAAAATCGAGCACATTTCATTCTCTTTGTCAGTAAGGTGCCCATAGTTAAAGGTGCCCATAGTCTTATGGTGGAGCACAGTAGTAGGCTTATGGTGGAGCACAGTAGCAGTCTTATGGTGGAGCACAGTAGTAGGCTTATGGTGGAGCACAGTAGTAGCCTTATGGTGGAGCACAGTAGTAGGCTTATGGTGGAGCACAGTAGTAGTCTTATGGTGGAGCACAGTAGTAGGCTTATGGTGGAGCACAGTAGTAGTATTATGGTGGAGCACAGTAGTAGGCTTATGGTGGAGCACAATAGTAGTCTTATGGTGGAGCACAGTAGTAGGCTTATGGTGGAGCACAGTAGTAGTCTTATGGTGGAGCACAGTAGTAGGCTTATGGTGGAGCACAGTAGTAGTCTTATGGTGGAGCACAGTAGTAGGCTTATGGTGGAGCACAGTAGTAGTCTTATGGTGGAGCACAGTATTAGGCTTGTGGTGGAGCACAGTAGTAGTCTTATGGTGGAGCACAGTAGTAGTCTTATGGTGGAGCACAGTAGTAGTCTTATGGTGGAGCACAGTAGTAGGCTTATGGTGGAGCACAGTAGTAGTCTTATGGTGGAGCACAGTAGTAGGCTTATGGTGGAGCACAGTAGTAGTCTTATGGTGGAGCATAGTAGTAGGCTTATGGTGGAGCACAGTAGTAGTCTTATGGTGGAGCACAGTAGTAGTCTTATGGTGGTGCACAGTAGTAGGCTTATGGTGGAGCACAGTAGTAGTCTTATGGTGGAGCACAGTAGTATTATGGTGGAGCACAGTAGTAGGCTTATGGTGGAGCACAGTAGTAGTCTTATGGTGGAGCACAGTAGTAGTCTTATGGTGGAGCACAGTAGTAGGCTTATGGTGGAGCACAGTAGTAGTCTTATGGTGAAGCACAGTAGTAGTCTTATGGTGGAGCACAGTAGTCTTATGGTGGAGCACAGTAGTAGGCTTATGGTGGAGCACAGTAGTAGGCTTATGGTGGAGCACAGTAGGAGGCTTATGGTGGAGCACAGTAGCAGTCTTATGGTGGAGCACAGTAGTAGGCTTATGGTGGAGCACAGTAGTAGTCTTATGGTGGAGCACAGTAGTAGTCTTATGGTGGAGCACTGTAGTAGGCTTATGGTGGAGCACAGTAGTAGGCTTATGGTGGAGCAAAGTAGTAGTCTTGTGGTGGAGCACAGTAGTAGGCTTATGGTGGAGCACAGTAGTAGTCTTATGGTGGAGCACAGTAGTAGGCTTATGGTGGAGCACAGTAGTCTTATGGTGGAGCACAGTAGTAGTCTTATGGTGGAGCACTGTAGTAGGCTTATGATGGAGCACAGTAGTAGTCTTATGGTGGAGCACTGTAGTAGGCTTATGGTGGAGCACAGTAGTAGTCTTATGGTGGAGCACTGTAGTAGGCTTATGGTGGAGCACAGTAGTAGGCTTATGGTGGAGCACAGTAGTAGGCTTATGGTGGAGCACAGTAGTAGTCTTATGGTGGAGCACTGTAGTAGGCTTATGGTGGAGCACAGTAGTAGTCTTATGGTGGAGCACAGTAGTAGTCTTATGGTGGAGCACTGTAGTAGGCTTATGGTGGAGCACAGTAGTAGTCTTACAGTGGAGCACAGTAGTAGTCTTATGGTGGAGCACAGTAGTAGGCTTATGGTGGAGCACAGTAGTAGGCTTATGGTGGAGCACAGTAGTAGGCTTATGGTGGAGCACAGTAGTAGGCTTATGGAGGAGCACAGTAGTAGGTCTATGGTGGAGCACTAGTAGGCCTTTAGTGGAGCATTGTAGTAGGCCTGTGGTGGACCACTGTAGTAGGCCTATGGTGGAGCACTAGTAGGCGTATGGTGGAGCACTCGCCTAATTGTGGCTGCAGGGGTCGAGGCACACTGTAGCAGGCCTGTGGTTAAACACTGTAGTAGGTCTGTGGTGGAGCACTGTAGTAGGCCTATGGTGGAACACTGTAGTAGGCCTACAGGCCCCTGCTAGGTAGGCCTTGTAATGGTTTAGAAAGACATGTAAGCAAACACTATGACATATTAGAAAATGTTTCGGTTCTGGGACCTTGGTAACTTCTAACATACAGAGGTAGAAAGACATTATATATAGGAGGAGAGTGAGCTGTGAGTCACGCGTTTTCTTATAAATGTCATAGTATTTCCTTACGTGTCTTTCTAAACCAACCTGTTGGTATTTATTACCAAGGTTTATACCAGGCCTTGTAATAATATTGGTAGAATTACCGTGTTATAGGCAGGTCTTCTCATATTCAAACATTTTTGCTCATATATTGGCCCAAACTATTTTTTAAATCTCCACAAGCTGTTAGCTTCAATAACTCTTCCCAACAAACTTTCAGTAAATTTATTTAGGCACAGATACACTTAAGTACAATTACATTATCATATACATAGTGCAAATTACCCTCCAGGATAACCCAAAAATGTCAAGGCAAAGTGACTTATTTCCATTGGGGTCCTTTAATATTTTTTTTTTTTAATTTCTTAGTAATGTCTCGCAATTTCAAAACTTTCATTATGCAAATAAGCATATTCTTTGAGTGATGTCACAGTATATTTTAAGCATATTCTTTGAGTGATGTCACAGTATAGTTTAAGCATATTCTTTGAGCGATGTCACTATATCTTGTGCAATTTGTTTTTTTAGATGGCAAGACCACGACGAACCAAGATGTCCTCTGGGCAGTTAGCCTCTAGTGAACATAGTCTTGCTGTGCTTGATGATGCTCGAGCGTTGTGTCGATCTGAACGCTCCAGCAGAGACAGAAAACAAAAGCAGAGGTCTGGTAACCATGGATGGTGTCCTGCGTTGCTCTATATGATTTTTGCCGCAGTTGTTGTAATGGCTGTTGCTTACTTTTTATATGTTGGATATATGGAAACTAGAATTAATACTCCACTGTCAGCTCCTAAGGTAAGGAAATTTCAGACTGTAGTCTTACAATTATTTTTTAATTCTAGTTGGCACTTGCATGCTTATTTACAGTTTTTTTTTTCTGTCAGTATTTGATGCTGTAACTGCACGGATATTACTGTGCATTTGCTTATAGTGTACCGTACCTTTACCCCTTTAATGGGCAGCTGACTTTTCATGGGGAGGAGGATAGCTCTGTAAATGCCATTTACATTAACTGGAAATCTCTATGTCAGGGAGGCCAAGACTGTAGTGACTGCTTTTAGAAATGTACTTCTGCTCTGCACAGTGACTTCCACTGATAAATATTGTATTCACAGTGTCTCAACACATTTGCAGAAGGGATGAGGTTCCTGGACTTCCCGTGAAACTAGAAACCATTGATACTGTAAAAAAAATGATGTCACTGGAGCAATTTTTTCAGATTTGGTTTCATTCTATGATTTCCCTCAAGGTAGGTTCTTTGATTCTGGTGAAGGGCTCTTGATCCTAGGAAGTAGATTTGTACTCCCCTTCCTTGGACTGAGTCTGTATAACCCCTATGAGTTTAGCACTTCCCCATGAATGGAATAATAATCATAATTTTGTATTTCAGAAATCTTATTTCTAATAATGCATGTCATTCTACCTTAGCTAACATGGATATTCAAAAGACCACAAAAAAAAAAAAAAAAAAGAGATTTAGGTGTGGGACACCCGTTCAGCCAGTAAAATGTTGGATACTGTTCATTGATTACTTGTTAATAAAAGTGTTGGATAATTGAAAATTGTGAATACGGAAGCTTGTATGTTTGTTCTGATGACTGTATATTATAAGTTTTGCCTCCACAGTCTGAATTTTGTGAAAGACAGTTTGTGGCATTTCTTCAAATTCTATGGTATCTGTGTGAATTAAAAGAAAATCTTAATAAATATTATGTGATACAGTTGTTTATAAAATTGGTCAGGTTTACTCAAATTTCAACAAAAATATGCAGTTCTTGCCAATTTATTGAAGGGCAAATACAAAGGCTTGCTTCATTGCAACAATCTTCCATTAAAGGTTTCAAAACTGCATTCTCCCTGCTTTTCAGAAATATCTAAAGCTTTAGAAATTGCTATTTGAAGCCATCTCTTAGGATAGGAATGAATGGTAAAGTAATAGAGGGAGACAGTCCAGCCACTGCCCACCCCTATACTTTTGTCACCTTTCCTTCTGCATCTCACACTCAACCACAGTAGTGAGGAAGTTGTGAGCATGTGTAAAGAATACAGTGGTACCTCGGTATACGTCCTTAATCCGTTCCAGGACCTTGGACTTATACCAAACAGGACGTATACCAAATGAATTTTCCTATAAGAAATACTATAGGGAAAACGATTAATCCGTTCCAATGAAAACAAATCCTATTGTTATTGGCATATTATACATTGATGGGGTTGTATAAATGTTTAAACACTGCTTGATATTAAAATATGTAATTTAAACACTGCTTAATACTAAAATATATTCATAAATACAAAAGAATTAGATGAAATAAATGCAAATTTAACCTCAATTTACTGAAAAGAGTCGAGTGCCTACTAGGATAGTGCTGAGAAGGGAGGAGGAGGAGGAGGAAATGTTATTGTTTGGAAGGAGAGTCCCCTTCTATTTTCTGCCTTTTTCCCTATTTAGACCTGGATGAAGCTCACCAGGTTTGATTTTTACTAAAAATCTGTCCAAAGAACTTTGCTTCTTCCTTCTTCTCAGGATGTTTCGGAAATGCGACATTCTCTGGCCATTCCAGACAATGCTATTATGGCTTGTTTGGGCTTTGTTGGGGTGGTACTTCTGTGCAAAGTTTTTGACGTTCATCTATTTGGCAGAGACTTCCTTGATTAATGAAGTAGGGGCTCATTCCTGCCTTGTTTTCAAAAGATCGGCATGCATCAGTTTTGCCTTTTTGCAAATCGTTGCCTTTGATACGCTATTGCCAGCACACTGTTTTTCTGTTATCTAGATCAAAAGCAGTTTTTCAACATACTCTAATGTCCATGATCTTTGTTTGGTAATCGATTTCACCCCCTTTGCCACGTTAGCTGATTTAATAACATCTTTGTTTTTTTGCAGTCATAGATACCATTGTTCTCATCATACAGTATGCAGCAGCCAAGTCCCAGATACGCATGCCACCTTCATACTTTTCAACAATCTCTTTTTTCGCCTCCATGGTGATCCTAACCATTTTCTTCGTTGCTTGGCTCTTCTCATTAACTTTCTTAGAACTCATGGTTAATGAATTTATTAAAAATTTATACAAAAAACAAAATTACGTGAAAATTCACAGAGAGTTACAGCATGGGTTGTTCACTGAATGGTAGGAACAGGCGTAATGACGCTAGTGGGCAGTTGTGGCCTTGTCTTGAAAGAGAGGTAAACAAGGGTAGTGTGCCGTGTCGTGACTCATTTTGACCCATACAAATTCTAGCACGCGAGTCATATTCCAAACTAAGGTCGTATACCAAGCAAAAATTTTCACGTCCAAACAGGACGTATACCAAGTTGGACTAATGCCAAAGCGGACGTATACCAAGGTAACACTGTATTGTAATTACCTATTTGTAGCTACCATACATGATATACAACCTCTCCTCACTTAATGACGGGATTTCATTCCTAAGAGCAGGTTGGTAAGTGAATTGGTCATTAAGCGAGGAGCATACTATACCGGTAGTGGGTTTGTGTCAACTATCTTTAGATATTTTTTTAATGTCACCTTTGCACCATTTATAACAGTTCTGGTATACTATTTTTAAATGTTTATACAGCCTCTCCTCACTTAACGACATACTCGTTTACCAATGCCTCGGACCTATGACAGGCTCTTTGATCAGTATTTATACCTAAATAATGTATATTAGAGCTGATTTCCTCTATTCTGTTTATAACAATATATAGTACACTACTGTATAAACATTTAAAAGTATACTAAAAATGTTATAAATGGTGCAACGGAGACATTAAAACAATATCAAAGATGGCTGACATAAATCCATCACCATTATATGTAGTATGCTCCTCACTTAGTGATGAATTCGTTTACCGACATGGTCTTAGGAATGGAACTCTGTCGTTAAGTGAGAAGAGGCTGTATGATGAATTTACGTAAGATTAGTTTTGTTGTTGCATGCACCACACTTAATGTCTATGCATAATATAATACTGTACATATGATTGTTATGTAACATATCAGGTGGTTCTTCTTCCCGAAATAGCCAAAATGTTGATCATGAGATTTAAAAAAATTTATATGATAGAGACTAAACATACTCAAATTTGTGATCATCACATTGCAGTTATCTTAAAATAACCAATTTTGTTTCTGAACTAGGGAAAAAGTTGAATTTTGTTGGTTACTTCAATTATTTTTTTTTTTTTTTTGAGCATTAAAGTCATAAGTTGGTGCACTTGTGTTTTGTGCAGTATATTCTAAGTACAGTGGAGCCCCGGTTAACGAACTTTTTTCATTCCAGTAGTATGTTCAGGTGCCAGTACTGACCGAATTTTTTCCCATAAGGAATATTGTGAAGTAGATTAGTCCATTTCAGACCCCCAAACATACACGTACAAACGCACTTACATAAATACACTTACATAATTGGTCGCATTTGGAGGTGATCGTTAAGCGGGGGTCCACTGTACTGTATTTGATTAGCAAAGATGGAGTTATGGAAGATTGTTTTAATTAGTGACTTTTATATTGCCATATTTAATATATCTGCTAGTATTGATTGTCTGCAGTCTGTAGCTAGTGTCATCATTGCATTGCAATGATTTTTTTTTTTTTTTTTCAAAATTTGATTTGGAATTTCCTTGTAGGTGGTGACCAAAACTGGACTTGCTGTCCCAGAAAGGTACTGGGGTACTTATCGACCTGGGGTATATTTTGGCACTCGCACACGACATCCTACTTCAGTTGTCACAGGTCTGATGTGGTTTGTTCCCGGACATTTCCAGAATAATATGCTGGCTCTTAGGTATGGTAACATTCCTTAATAATTGTCATGCCTAATATTTTTCCTTTTTGCATCAGATTAAACAAGATACTCATAAGATATATAAATAAATTTCAAGTAGCCTTATGTTAAGCATAAATTTTAGTGGAAAAAATAAGCACAGTGCACTGCAGGACAAACAGGTATACTCTTTTCACATCTTGTTGTGCAGACCACTAAAAATCCACTCTTAAGTTAATGCTGCCTTCAAGGTGGGATTCCTTGATGCTGGCAAAGAGCTTTTGATCCAAAGAATTGAGTTACCCTCATGTTTTATCAAACCTGATTACCTCCTGTTCTCTAGGCTCTGTATGACCCTTATAGGTTCAGGGCTTCCCTGTGAATATAATAATAATAATAATAATAATAATAATAATAATAATTTATCAAGGATGAGGTTAATCATAGAATTGATGAGGGAAAAAAGGTGAGTGGTGCGTTGAGGTATATGTGGAGTCAAAAAACGTTATCTATGGAGGCAAAGAAGGGAATGTATGAAAGTATAGTAGTATCAACACAATTATATGGGTGTGATGCTTGGGTGGTAAATGCAGCAGCGAGGAGACAGTTGGAGGCAGTGGAGATGTCCTGTCTAAGGGCAATGTGTGGTGTAAATATTATGCAGAAAATTCGAAGTGTGGAAATTAGGAAAAGGTGTGGAGTTAATAAAAGCATTAGTCAGAGGGCAGAAGAGGGGTTGTTGAGGTGGTTTGGTCATTTAGAGAGAATGGATCAAAGTAGAATGACATGGAAAGCATATAAATCTATAGGGGAAGGAAGGCAAGGTAAGGGTCGTCCTCGAAAGGGTTGGAGAGAGGGGGTAAAGGAGGTTTTGTGGGCGAGGGGCTTGGACTTCCAGCAAGCATGCGTGAGCGTGTTAGATAGGAGTGAATGGAGAAGAATGGTACTTGGGACTTGACGATCTGTTGGAGTGTGAGCAGAGTAATATTTAATGAAGGGATTCAGGGAAACCGGTTATTTTCATATAGTCGGACTTGAGTCCTGGAAATGGGAAGTACAATGCCTGCACTTTAAAGGAGGGGTTTGGAGGGATATGTTGTGTATCTTTATATGTGTATGCTTCTAAACTGTTGTATTCTGAGCACCTCTGCAAAAACAGTGATAATGTGTGAGTGTGGTGAAAGTGTTGAATGATGATGAAAGCATTTTGTTTTTGGGGATTTTCTTTCTTTTTTGGGTCACCCTGCCTCAGTGGGAGATGGCCAACTTGTTGAAAAAAAAAAAAATAATAATAATAATAATAAAATTACTGCATCATATATTTTGAGAAAGTGCCCCTTTTCAAAATACTTAATTTAAATACTTAGATGTTTATAGTAAATGTTGGAACAAGTATAAACTCTCATAGTAATATATACAGCCTCTCCTCACTTAATGACAGAGTTCCGTTCCTAAGATGAAGTCAGTAAACAAATTCGTCAATAAGCAAGGAGCATACTATAATGGTGGTGGGTTTGTGTCAACCATCTTTGATATTGTTATGTTACCATTGCACCATTTGTAACACTTTTAGTATATTTTATATGTTTATACAGTAGTGTACTGTATATTGTAATAAACAGAATAGAGGAAATCACCTTTAACCCTTTCAGGGTCCGTCCCGTAGATCTACGGCTTTACGTTCAGGGTCCAAACCGTAGATCTACGTCATGAGCTCAGCTCACTCTGATAAACTGTGAGTGGTAAATTTGGGCCTAGATATGAGAGAATACATCTATGTGGTATGTGTGCACCACATAAAACAAATCCTGCAGCACACTGTGTATAATGAGAGAAAAAAAACTGAGACCGTGGTTTTCGATTAAAACAGCGACTTTGCAGTGTTTTTTCGTATGTTTTTTATAGTTGTATTTGTGATTTCTTGGTCTCATTTGATAGTATGGAAGATATATTACAGAAATAGAGATAATTTTGATTGGTTTTAGCACTGGAAATGGCTTGAAACTGAGCTCAAAGTGGCGGAAATGTTAAATTTTTACCGATGTTCAGGAGTAAACAAACGACCTCACACGTCTAATACACGCCAGCTGGTGGGTCTAATATACATTCACAAATGTGGTGATGATATTTATACAATTATTACAATATTGCATAACAGTAAATCTTCTATTTTTTGGTGTGAATAAAAATTCATTATGTGAGTAAAATATCAAAATGGAATTTATTTGTAAAGCCTCAAAACATAACTAATGAACAGAGGAAATATTAGTTTAGTGCCAGGAATACCTACATTGTTTATTCTGGACCCTATTTTGAAACTGGAATATTTTGAACTTTGTGTTAAATTGGCCAAATTACCAATTTCCAGTCACTTTATTTTGTAGTTGAAACAGTTGACTTGGCGATTTCTTGTGCTCAATCGATAGAATAGAAGTGATACTAGTGAAATAGCTAAGAATTTAGTCGACTGGAATAATGTAATTGGCTTAAAATGGAAGTCAATTCGGCAAAATCGCCAATTCGTAAATATCGCTGACACATCAAAATTCACGAGAGCATAATTTCGTCAATTTTCCATCAAATTTTGTACTTTTTGTTTTATTACATTCACAAAAAGATTCTCTACCATTTCATAAGAAAAAATAGCAATTTTTTTTTTTTGAAAATTCTTGGACACTGGGGCACCACTTCAGATTTTGGCCTTGGACCCTGAAAGGGTTAATATGGTATGCATACTGGTCAGAGCCCATCGTAAGTCCGAGTTGTCAGTAAACGAGCATACGTCGCTAAGTGAGGAGAGGCTGTATATGCATATGTCATGGGCTTTCTTAACTACAAATGGGTAAAGAAAATACAATTGTGAGTACTGTATGGGGACCTGCAGTGTTTCTCTGGTATTTTTGTAATTCATTCATAATTTTACAGACACTGGTGTGATCAAGGTGATGATCTGTCTAAGTATGGCTGGCAGGTTCACGATGGCCGCAACATTGGTATACAGACCATTACAGACAAACATGTAATTCTGCAAACAAATTTTGTTAAAAGAGCCGGTGGTCAGCATGGAGGAGACTGGTCAGCAAGGATTAATGTCTTTCCTAAGGTAATTATTTTTATATAGGGTAAGCGCTTGACCTGTAGGGATCATACAGCACATATTTTAGTCCAAGGAAAGGGAGGATAAATCTAATTACTTGGATCAAGAACCTCTCACCATCCCTAAGGTCAACATCGATTATTTGTGAATGTGTTTCGTTAGCCGGACTTGCGTCTTGGAGGTGGAAAGTACAGTGGAGTGGAGATATGTTGCATTTTTTGAAATGGAGTGTCGGAAAGACAGCAATGGAGTGAGTGATGATGAAAGCATTTCCTCTTTTTCGGGTCACCCTGCCTCAGTGGGAAACAGCTGATGTGTTAATCAAAAAAAAAAGTATTTCTTTCACTGGTATTCACTGAAGACTGAAATTTGAGGGATTATGCCATACATGTTGATGGCTCCTCTTGAAATGTTTAAGTATTAGTGTAGCTTTATACAATAAAAGATTTAAGAGAAGGAGGGAATTCCTTACTGGTAGTGAAGAACTCTGAACCCAGGGAATTGGAACTAGCCTCTCCTTCCTTGGATCAAATCTGATGACCTTTCATTCCTTAGGCATTGCATGACCCTCCTGAGAGCTTTTCAAAATGTGTAAAATAAATATCACCTAATTTTGTAATATGCATATTGTGAATATAGTTTTTTGTTTTCTTCATGAATATAATACTGTAATAAGTTATTTTCTGGATATACTTGATCCATTTTATATGATGTAATTATTTTTCAGAACAAAAAACAAGAGGGTGGAGAGGCATCTCTTCTGTACTATGTAGCACTGGATCCAGACGATGAAGAGTCAATGTTACAACCAATGGTTGGAACCAGTCACTCCTTGGGTTCCCTCAGAGGCATCTCCGACTCTGTTGGAGGCTTCCGACTGCATGTTCTTAATACTTCAGGGATCATAATTCACCACCATTTACTCAGTACTAAGCATTTAGGACTTCACATGCTGAAAGAAACAGTGTACAAAGGTTTGAGAGTCTTCCAGGGTAAGAGTGAAAAAGACAAATACATTGGCCTTGCAGGAGAGATGTTCAGTCACGAGGATGCTGACCGACAACCTGACTTAGTCGTGTACCAAGTTACTGGAAAGGTGCCGTTTGAAATTGAAGTAGTGTATGAGAGTGACAGTGTAACCAGAAGGCCAGGAATGCTCATGGGTGAGGCCTTAACTCAGGAATTAAATAAATATAAGGAAAAATTCTATGGCAATTTTGAATCAAAGTTTTCCATGGAAGCTAAAGGATTTAATACTGAAGAAATTAATTTTGCCAGAGCTGCTTTGAGTAACATGATTGGAGGTATTGGTTATTTTTATGGTGTTTCAAAGGTACTTGGTGAATATAATAGTGATCCCGTACCATATTGGAAGGCTCCACTCTACACAGCAGTACCATCACGCAGTTTTTTTCCCCGAGGCTTCCTGTGGGATGAAGGCTTTCACAATCTACTTATATCCAAGTGGGACAGAGAAATCTCTCAAGATATTTTAGCACACTGGTTTGATTTAATGAACTGGGATGGGTGGATACCTCGAGAGCAGATCCTGGGTGTGGAGGCTCGTGCCAGAGTCCCTGAGGAGTTTGTTGTTCAGCTTGGTAAAAATGCTAATCCACCTACTCTTCTCCTCACACTTCACTCAATGATGGCTGGCTTCAAGCAGGAATTATCAGACGATGATTATGAGTATCTTGGTCATCTTTGGCCACGGCTCAGAGCATGGTACAACTGGTTTAACACAACCCAGTTGGGGGATTTTCCAGGCACATATAGATGGCATGGCAGAGATCCAAGAGCAGTGAGAGAGCTCAATCCCAAAACTCTGACATCTGGACTTGATGACTATCCCCGGGCATCTCACCCTACAGCGGATGAGCGCCACCTGGACCTTAGATGCTGGATGACTTTAGCTTCAGGACTTATGGCAGATATTGCTAGACTTATAGAAAAGGATCCCAGCAGGTTTGCTGAAGCATATAAGTATTTATCGGACAACACTGTTCTGGATTCTCTACATTGGTCTTATGCAGCAAATGGCTACATGGACTATGGTCTTCATACAGATGACTTGGAATTGAAACGACTAACACCCAATTCTGAAATGAAACGTATTGTTCATACAGCTCCGAAGTTGAAATTCATAGACTCGTTTGGATATGTGACCTTCTTCCCTCTCTTTCTTCAGATTATAGATCCCTACTCTGCAAAACTTGGGAAAGTTCTTGATGACCTCCGGCGACCAGATCTCCTTTGGACTCCTTATGGGCTTCGCTCCTTGGCAAAAAATTCACCTTTATATAATAAGCGAAACACTGAGCATGATCCACCTTATTGGCGGGGGGCCATATGGATCAATATGAATTTCTTGGCTGTACAAGCTTTGCATTATTATAGCAACATTGATGGACCTCACAGAGAGCTGGCAACGGAGATATACACAAGTCTTCGACAGAATGTTATTAATAATGTTATGAAAGAATACAAAAGAACAGGATATTTATGGGAGCATTATAATGATAAAAATGGACGAGGAGAGGGATGTCGACCATTTACTGGCTGGACTGGTCTTGTGGTACTAATGATGGGTGAAACTTTTTAAACTTTTATTGTCAATTAGATTACTTCTGTGCTTAGTTTGGACACTAAAGTATGTCGTTAAATATATAAAAAAAAAAATATATATATCCTAGGTAGTGGGTTGGTAGACAGCAACCGCCCAGGGAGGTACTACCGTCCTGCCAAGTGAGTGTAAAACGGAAGCCTGTAATTGTTTTACATGATGGTAGGATTGCTGGTGTCTTTTTTTTCTGTCTCATAAACATGCAAGATTTCAGGTACGTCTTGCTACTTCTACTGACACTTAGGTCACACTACACATACATGTACAAACATATATGTACACACCCATCTTGGTTTTCTTCTATTTTCTTTCTAGTTCTTGTTTATTTCCTCTTATCTCCATGGGGAAGTGGAACAGAATTCTTCCTCCGTAAGCTATGCGTGTTGTAAGAGGCGACTAAAATGCCGGGAGCAAGGGGCTAGTAACCCCTTCTCCTGTATATATTACTAAATGTAAAAGGAGAAACTTTCATTTTTCCTTTTGGGCCACCCCACCTTGGTGGGATATGGCCGGTTTGTTGAAAGAAAGAAAGAAAGATATACTATTTATTTACTTTATATTTTGAAGATACTCTTCATGCAAATTTATAATGTACAGTATATGCACACTCAAAAAATAATATTACATAGTTATACACCTACCATCCGACTTACGACCTGCTCGACTTACGACCGCTCGACTTACGACCGTGTTTTTTATGCCAAATTTCTGGGAAATAAACAACTATTTGTGTTGTACACAGTGTTTATCCTAGACCTTACAGTATAAAATACAGTACTAACAACATAAAAAGTAAAGTAAAACATGAAATACCAAAATAAAACAATAAAATAAAGTCATTACAAAGATGTTTTGTTGATATTCAGTAGTAAAGTTCGACTTACAACCATTTCGACTTACGACCGGTTTCTCGGAACCGAACTCGGTCGCAAGTCGGATGGTAGGTGTATTATCTTAATATTTTCAACAACTGAAAATTTAGGCTGGTCTTTAAAAAAATTATAGCTTAGATCTGTATAATTTTCCTACAAAAATTGAAATTTGATCTTCAGGAAATATAAACATATTTACTTATATGAAAAAGTGTGCATCAACTTCCTGATTTGTTTACTCAGTACTGTGCGGTATTTCAGATTATATTTTGAGAATCATTTGTCTTTCTTGCGTAGATGAATCTTTGTGTGACCTACTGTGGCATACACATTAACATACCGACCTGACATCACTTTACCCTCCCCCCTGGAGTATACCTGGAGGGGGTTTCGGGGGTCAATGCCTCCGCTGCCCAGTCCACGACCAGGCCGGGCTCCAGGAGTAGAAAGACTTGGAATTTAACTAATGTATAAAGGTAGAGGCCTAGACCCAGTCCTAGAATTTGATCAGTCAGTCTTGGTGCTAACAATATGCAGTCCATTGTAAGCACCACACCCTGGCTGATCAGGAATTGTCTAGATGCACTTGTTAAGTTCCCTATTGAAAAGAAAAACCTGTTGGGCCATATTATGCAGTTTTTCTGAACAGGCTACATGTTGGTTATAAATGATTTTTATAACATTGCTACTGTATGGTTATTCAACACAAATTGTAAAATTATCATTGCCACTATAACCACAACCTTCATCATGTACTTAGTTATAACATGTAATTATTGCATTCACTACCTTCAGTATTAGCATCTATATGCTAATGAATGTTTATAACCTAGCAAGTTTATGAAGTGGAATACTATATTATCAAAGTGGAAAGTACTACAAGGAAACTGAACTGTTTTCATACAATCATCAGATGTGACACCCATAGACCTTAATAATTATTATTATCATGATGATAGCGAAAGTGTTGAATGATGAAAGTTCTTTCTTTTTGGGTTTTTCTTTCTTTTAGGGTCACCCTGCCTCGGTGGGAAGTGGCTGATGTGTTGAAAAAAAAATAATCATAACTAAGCACTAAACCCATAAGGTTCATGCAACACTGCTATAGACATTAATAATGGAGAGTCATTTTTAGATAGACACAAGGAATTTGGGCTACCTTATCTTTCCTTGACCCAGATTTGATTACCTTCCATTTCTCATTCATTGGGAAGTGTTAACCCCATATGAGTTTAGCACTTCCCAGTGAATGCACTGGGAAGTGCATTTTGAATAAGCTGCCACTTATTCAAAATAGCCACTTAAGTCATTGGAGGGGTTAATTATGAATGAAAATGCCTAGTCTGCAAACATTCTCTATATCAAGGTCTGTGACTGTCACATTTTATGTTTCAGTGAAAAACACCATGCACATATACAAATACAGTGGACCCTCGAATTTCATCATCCGTTTTCTGTATGTAAAACTATAGTTATTCTCTATAAAATGTATTTTTTGTTAATATTTTTGGGTGTCTGGAACGGATTAATTGGATTTACATTATGTCTTATGGGAAATATTAAAAAAATATATATTTTATAGAGAATAACTAGTTTTTTTTTTTTTTTTTTTTTGGGGGGGGGGGATATAAAAAACTATCCAATTGTTGAGTTTTTTGGTTATTGACTGTGAAGGCTGACTTAATTGTTGTATTTGAGAACTACTAAAAGTTATACGTATGTTTTAATAGTTTAGCATTTATGTAAATTATAGACTTCTATTTTGATACTTGATGCATTACAATATATTATTCTGACTGTGAAATCACTAAGGTTTGCTGCCTACTTATGCAAGTGTGTAAGCTACAGTTATTGATATTGAAATTTTATCGTAATTCATTCCTATCTTTATGGCATGACCCACGTGCTGCATGACACTTTTAACATTTACTATATAATAATAAGAGTTAGTTTAATTCATGTGTCCTTGCATATTTATGAAAAAAGCATCTTATTTTTGTTGGATGTTATTCTTTTCCAGGATGTATTAGCTGAAAAAGATAGTATTGTGTGAGTGAAAAAAGACTTAGAGGAACGGTTAGTAAAGAAATTTTTAAATAGTATTTAAATTTAAATATAGTACTGTATAAAGTAAGGAGTCTGCCAGTCCTCTTATTAAAATCACTCAATTCTCTTAAGATGTTTAACACATCTTGACCATAAATGTTTTATTCAATACACGTTAAATTGAAGGGCTTAGGTTTATGGAGTCATCTGTGAGGTGTTTAACCGTCCCTTTGTAAAATGATTTGAATCTGCTTCACCTAGAAGAAATTATAAGACATTGTACAGTTTAGTGAACTATGGAAAGGCATTATTGTCCTAGATATTGTTAAAGTTGTTTCTTATATCTGTACTTATATTCATATTAATATTGACGTGCTGTTGGAGTGTGAGCAAAGTAACATTTATGAAGGAATTCAGGGAAACTGGCAGGCCGGACTTGAGTCCTGGAGATGGGAAGTACAGTGCCTGCACTCTGAAGGAGGGGTGTTAATGTTGCAGTTTTATAAACTGTAGTGTAAAGCACTCCTCTGGCAAGACAGCAATGGAATGAATGATGATGAAAGTTTTTCTTTTTTGGGCCACCCTGCCTTGGTGGGAAACGGCTGATGTGTTTATAATAAAAAAAAATTGATTATAGAGTTAATTTTTGTTTTATAAATCTTCTTCTTAATTGTAAGTAGGAAAAGTGTGAATTTTTACTTATCTTTTATGTATTATTTATGATTTACTTTATGGTTGAATTATGTGGTTTAAAAGATGCAAACAACAAAAAGATACCTTTATTAGTACAACATTTCACCTACTGAGACTTTTTCATGTGCACATTACTTGATAAAGCTTTATGTGAGTGAAATATCATACTGATAAAGCTTTCTTTGGCTGCATTTGTATTTTATAACCAAGATATTTTATATTTAAGGAGCGTGATTATTCAGTATCATTTATGATGTAGTTCCTTTATGTACATGGTAGGGGGATGAAGGTCTTAGTTGTTGTCATGCTTGGTGGGTCTCGACTCCTTTTGTGGTAGCTACAAGACATGGAAGCTGAGCTCACCATCACCTTGTTTATTGGCTTTGCATAGTGTCCTGTTAACTCCTTGTCCACTTCCCTAGAAATTGAGCCTGCTTGTGGAGCTGCTGCTCTTGGATGGGCAATGATTTTCTTTAGTGGGAAAGATAAAATTGGAAGTTTGATACTGGCCTCTCTGAATCAGTCATCTCTGGCGGGGAGATGTATTTAGCTAGGGCCAAGTAAGCATCAGAGGGCAGGGCTCCCTTTTGATCTTGTGGCTGCCACTTAGTCCTCTCTTAGTCAGTTGAGTATATTACTTTATTACCTTTGTTTATTTTAGTGAATGTGTAAGGCTCCCTTTGTTGGACTTGAAGGGTGGTTGGTGAAAAGGGGAGCTGAAGGTTAGTTATTATTGTTTAATGAGTACAATAAACCCTCAATTTAACAGACTAATAGGGGAGCAGTTGTTTGATAATGGTGGAGAGATGAGATTTTGTTATGATCGTAACAATAATGGACAATTCAGAAACAATAGACTTGGTCTGTTGTTTCTGAATCAATTGATCTAGCTGATTTTGTTCTGTATTTTCCAAGTTTGTTACATTGAGAGTTAACCATATTGTTATTGATTCCTCGGCACCGTCCCTGACTGGTTCCAGCTTCTCTTAACTCCCAAAGGTGATTTGCAAGTTTACCTTGCAATAATTGACACCATTGTGTCACAACAATCAAGACAATTACTGCCATTTCAGATCCCATACCTGATGCTCCTCGACCCACTCCTCACTATAATCATAGTGTTTCCATGTTGGGTGCCGGACACCACAACAGGTAGTGTACTGCACACAACCCTAGTAAAGAACTTTACTCTATTTTTATGCCCAGTGAATCTTTGGATGTGCTGTGTGATTATAAAATGATCGAGATGATCTTGACCCATTACGATGGAGTACATGAAGCCTGGGTTAATAATGCTACTCAGACAAATGACTTAGCAAAATTACAAACTAGACAACATGCTTGTTCAGGTTCTCAGATGTGCTCACGTTATGAATATACACGAGGGCCCCATGTTTCCGGCTCTCTCTTTTCAGTGTCCCACTATTTTGGCAGTTTTCAGTTGAGCGATTGTTCGTATGTTTAATTGTTTTTCTGCTTTTCTGCCATTTTCAGACAGCAGCATCAGGGAAAGGGCATCTGGTGCCATATTTTAAGGTAAATATTGTATGTACTGTTTTTTTTCTTTCTTATGTTTTTTCTAGGCCTAGCTGTACTGATAGTGTAAACATGTTATCAAGCATTTTAGAAGTATTTAATATTGAAAAAAAACTTTTTTCCACTTACTGGCAGTTTTCACTTATGGACAGGAGCTGGGAACCTAGCAGCCGAAAAAACGGGACCCTCCTGTATATGATTATGATGAGAGCACAAAGGTAGTTGGTGTTATCTTAGAAACAATCACATCAAAATAATCAAGGGAGTCTTATTTACGAATCCCTTTTCTGGCTCATCTTCCAGTATGATGGTATATCTACCATTTTTCTCCAGGCTATCTTTTAGAAATGAAATTCTTAATCTTTTATCTGCAAGGATGTTTTTCAGTACTGTGCCTTTACAAGTTTGGCATATTTTGTGAAAATAATAATTCAGTGCTGTGCCTCCTATTTCTCATGCTTCACAAGCTTTTTATTTTCTTATTGTAAGTATGAGGTGTGGTGGAATGGTTCCACGAGTAAATATACTTCTGTTATAAGAACACTTTTGTTTACAAAAGGGTGAAGCTTGCTCATTGTGTTACAAAAGGGTAAAGCTTGCCCAATGTATTGGAGTTCATCACCATTTTTTGAGTGCTGTGTAATAATTAGCAAAGTTCTACCATTCCTGTGGTATGTAACATATTTCATTCTGATGGCCCAGTGTACTAGCAGTTGGTTTTAAATTATACTGGCAATCATAGTTAATCTCACACTGTTGCTCGAGGCTGTGCAAAAGTGTCATAGTATAAAATTCAAAATGTCATAGTATAAAATTCATGGTGGCCTGACCTTGTAACCTGCTTGAGGGGTTCTTGATTCAGGGAAATGGACCTATTCTTGGACTGAAGCTGATTGCCTCCCACTCCCTAGGTGTTATATAACCCCTATGGGTATAGTGCTTCCCCCATGAGTATAATACACAGGTGACACTCATGACTGGTTTTGAGGGCTCTTCCCTTGCAGCCAGGCTACCTTGTTGATATCCTGGTCAACTAGGCTGTTGGTGCTAGCAACCTGCATGCCCACATATGATGAAACTGTTTTGTATCAGGCCTCTTCCATTATGAAATGTGTGGACTAACCTGGTGAAAAAAAATATTTCGAGCCAGACTCATAATGCATCATGTGAGTTTTCCTTCTGCAGTCTCTTATAATTATACAGTAAATTTATCTTGGTGTTTACTAAATGCACCTAAGTGTTCAGTGAAAGTTTGGTAGGTAGCATGGGTAAATTGTTTATTTTTGCAATAAAAAGTATATACTAGTACCAATGTTGCTTTATTTCTCAGTATACCCTTCAAAGGGGGCTGTGGTGCTGGTGTAGGGTTTTTTATTTAAGGAACTTTTACTACTCTCCCATTCCTTGGCTCGAACTGAATTATCTCCTATTCCTCAAGTTCTCTTATGTTCCTATAGGTGTAGTGCATCCCATGAATGTGTTGTGTAGTACAGTGCCAGCAAGGTGTAAGGGAGAGAGAAAATCAGGAAAAATTGTTCAGTAGTGTTAGTTCATTGTCTTACGAAGTACCACCATTCAGAGTAAGTGATTTTCATAACTTGGTTGGGTAGAATTATTATAATCATAATGAAGTGCTAAACCCACAAGGGTCATACAGCACTGCTGGTTGGGTAGAAGCTGTAATAGTTTACTAACACCCAGGTACATCTTCACTTCTGGCAACCACTCATTCACGATACAGCCTCTCCTCACTTAACAATGGAGTTCCGTTCCTAAGACAATGTCGGTAAACAAATTCGTCATTGAGCAAGGAGCATACTGTAATGGTTGTGGGTTTGTGTCAACCATCTTTGATATTGTTTTAGTGTCACCTTTGCACCATTTATAAAATTTTCAATATATTGTACTATGCAGTATAATTATTTTATATTACATTATACAGTAGTGTACTGTATGTTGCAATAAATAGAATAGAGGAAATCAGCTCCAATGTACATTATTTAGGTATGCATACTGGTCAGAGAGCCTGTTGTAAGTCCAAGTTGTCAGTAAACGAGTACGTTGCTAAGTGAGGAGAGGCTGTATTCTTTATTTCCGAATGGAGATCCTCTTACAAAATACCTTATTCAGATTTTGTACCATCTCTCTTGACCATGACTCATAATAAAAGTCCCAGAATATTACCCTACAAAAGACATGATACCTAAAATTGTCAGGTTCCTCTCCAGCTTTTGGTAGTTTTTCTAGTAAATGAAACACTGATAGTAAGATGAAATTCAACAATTGACTAACAGAGGTACATATTTACTGCTAAATGAACAGGGGCAGCAAGTGTCAGAAGACTGATACATCTTAACCAGCCTGGGAATCAAACCCAGGTCCTTTTCGTTGTGAGCTGAATGCTGCTCTATTACAGTGGATCCTCGCCTAACGAACGCATCCCATAACGTTAAATCCGCCTAGCGATACATTTCAACGCAAAAATTTTGTCTTGGCTAGCGCTAAAAAACTTGCTCAACGCGATTTGTTTGAGAAGCGTCCACGTGCGGCCTGAGCCCGCCTCACTTGTTCCGTGGGTGCCATTGTTTACAAGCCAACCACCGCAGTCGCTTCCAAGCATACAATCAGAACATTTCATATTATCACAGCCTTTTTAGTGATTGCACCTGCAAAATAAGTCACCATGGGCCCCAAGAAAGCTTCTAGTGCCAACCCTACAGGAAAAAGGGTGAGAATTACTATGGATATGAAGAAAGAGATAATTGCTAAGTATGAAAGTGGAGTGCGTGTCTCCAAGCTGGCCAGGTTGTACACAAAACCCCAATCAACCATCGCTACTATTGTGGCCAAGAAAACGGCAATCAAGGAAGCTGTTCTTGCCAAATGTGCAACTTTGTTTTCGAAACAGAGATCGCAAGTGATAGAAGATGTTGAGAGACTGTTATTGGTGTGGATAAACGAAAAACAGATAGCAGGAGATAGCATCTCTCAAGCGATCATATGTGAAAAGGCTAGGAAGTTGCATGACGATTTAATTAGAAAAATGCCTACAACTAGTGGTGATGTGAGTGAATTTAAGGCCAGCAAAGGTTGGTTTGAGAGATTTAAGAATTGTAGTGGTATACATAGTGTGATAAGGCATGGAGAGGCTGCCAGTTCGGACCACAAAGTGGCTGAAAAATATGTGAAGGAATTCAAGGAGTACATAGACAGTGAAGAATTGAAACCTGAACAAGTGTTTGTGACGAAACAGGCCTGTTTTGGAAGAAAATGCCAAACAGGACCTACATTACTCAGAAGGAAAAGGCACTCCCAGGACATAAGCCTATGAAAGATAGGCTTACTCTGTTGATGTGTGCTAATGCTAGTGGTGATTGCAAAGTGAAGCCTTTATTGGTGTATCACTCTGAAACTCCCAGAGTGTTCAGGAAAAACAAACAATGTCCTCAAGGCTAATTTGTGTGTGATGTGGAGGGCAAACAGTAAGGCATGGGTCACTAGGGACTTTTTCTATGATTGGTTACACCATGCATTTGCCCCCACTGTGAAAAATTACCTCCTGGAAAATAAATTGGACCTTAAGTGCCTCCTGGTATTAGACAATGCTCCTGGTCATCCTTCAGACTTGGCAGAGCGACTTTCTGCGGAAATGAGCTTCATTAAGGTCAAGTTTTTGCCTCCTAATACCACTCCTCTCCTGCAGCCCATGGACCAGCAGGTCATTTCCAACTTCAAAAAACTCTACACAAAAGCTATGTTTGAAAGGTGCTTTGTAGTGACCTCAGAAACTCAATTGACTCTAAGAGAGTTTTGGAGAGATCACTTTAGCATCCTCAATTGTGTAAACATTATAGGTAAGGCTTGGAAATGACTAAGAGGACCTTGAACTCTGCTTGGAAGAAACTGTGGCCAGAATGTGTAGACAAAAGGAATTTTGAAGGGTTTGAGGCTAACCCTGGGAATCCTATGCCAGTTAAGGAATCCATTGTGGCATTGCGAAAGTCCTTGGGGTTGGAGGTTAGTGGGGAGGATGTGGAAGAGTTGGTGGAGGAGGACAATGACGAACTAACCACTGATGAGCTGCTAGATCATCTTCAACGGCAAGAGGCCAGACCTGAGGAAACTGCTCCAGAGGAGACAGAATTTAAAACTTAATGACTATCCAAAGGTTATTCAAGCTAACCGTAACCTGTCCATCACCGGTCAAGGATATTTTAACACCAAAAATAGGAATCAAAGTACTGTAAACTCTCAGTGTATATATATATTGAGCTACACACCTCTCGGTGTATACTGTATATCCTTCACAGTGTGGGAAGAGCAAGTGTAGGCCATGCAAGGGAACCCTACAAAGGGCTGCCATGTTTATTTTTCCTTCCCCAGGTACCATGTTAACTCCTACAGTGCTTCCTGTGAATATAATCTTGGCAGGAAATTTTGATTATGGCATCACTGTTTAAGTTTAATTAGAGCATGAAACACTAACAACTTATTATTTTATATTACATAATATAACTGAACTTATTGATTTAGTATTTTTTGTGAATACAATATAATTTAAAAAGTACAATTTTCAATTTTCAAAAAAAGAGAAATCAAAATATGAATGGTCACCATTATGAAAATAATTTAGATTCTACTTTTGCTTTCTTTTGATCTAAATCTGTCATAAGAGCATCCACCATGGTGTGAGGTGTGACTTCTCGACCCAGGAACTCTCCGACCATGGCTCGGGGTGGCTTCCCTCCTCCGTGAGCAAGTACTTCACACCGGTACTTTTCACCCTTCTCTCTGTTAATGGTGGAAACTGATCAGCTGTTGGATTTAATGCAATACACAAGTAACCCACACACAGACAAATAAAGCTTTTGACGATGTTTTGGTCCAACTTGGACCATCAACTACAAGTGCTCCTTGACTTATGATGGGATCACGTTCCGATGAACCCATCATGAGTCAAAAATATTTTAAGTCAAATATGAATGTGAAATGCTAAATAAATAAACAATAACTACTCTCCTGAATAAGTAAATAAATAATTACTATAACTAAATACCAGTAATGAAAAGTAAATGAATGAATACAAGTTATGAACTTGCCACCTTCATGCTCCAAAGTAACTGCTTTTGCACCATTGTAAAGTCAAAATATCGTAAGTCAAGGAGCATCTGTAGTTAATGGTCCAAGTCAGACCAAAATGTCATTATAAGTTTCCTTCTCCTTTGTGTGGGGTTATCTGTGTATTGCTCCAGCCATAGTATTGTGACTTATTCTTTAATGCAAAAAAATACAATAATTTTTCTCATGGAGCTACATTGCATTTTAAGCTACATATGATCACAAAGTACAGTGGACCCCCGGTATTCGATATTAATCCATTCCTGAGAGCTCATCGAATACTGAAAACATCGAAAACCGAATCAATTTTCCTCATAAGAAATAATGGAAATCAAATTAATCCGTGCAAGACACCCAAAAGTATGAAAAAAAAATTTTTACTACATGAAATATTAAGTTTAATGCAATAGAATAATTACAATAACAATAAAATAATTGACACTTACCTTTAATGAAGATCTGGTGATGATGGGATGGGAGGAGGGGAGAGGTGTTAGTGTTTAGAAGGGGAATCCCCTTCCATTGGGACTTGAGGTAGCAAGTCATTTTCCTGGGTTACTTCCCTTCTTCTTTTAATGCCACTAGGACCAGCTTGAGAGTCACTGGATTTCTGTCGCACAACATATCTGTCCATAGTGGCCTGTACCTCCCTTTCCTTTATGACATTCCTAAAGTGTTTCACAACATTGTCAGTGTACAGGTTGCCAGCATGGCTTGCAGTAGCTGTGTCAGGGTGATTGTCATCAAAAAAGGTTTGCACTTTAAGCCACATTGCACACATTTCCTTAATCTTTGAAGTAGGCAACTTCTTCAATTTCTCTATCCCCTCCTCCAAAGCAGTTTCCTCAAGTGTGGCATCTTGCTGTTGAAGATGATCTATCAGCTCATCAGTGGTTAGTTCTTCATTGTCCTCCTCCACCAACTCTTCCACATCCTCCCCACTAACCTCCAACCCCAAGGACTTCTCCAATGCCACAATGGATTCCTCAACTGGCACAGGATTCTCGAGGTTAGCCTCAAATCCTTCAAAATCCCTTTTGTCTACACATTCTGGCCACAGTTTTTTCCAAGCAGAGTTCAAGGTCCTCTTAGTCACTCCCTCCCAAGCCTTACCTTTAAGGTTTACACAACTGAGGATATTAAAGTGATCCTTCCAAAACTCTTTTAGAGTCAGTTGAGTTTCTGTGGTCACTACAAAGCACTTTTGAAACATAGTTTTTGTGTACAGTTTCTTGAAGTTGGAAATGACCTGCTGGTCCATGGGCTGCAGGAGACAAGTGGTATTAGGAGGCAAAAACTTGACCTTAATGAAGCTCATGTCCCCAGAAAGTCGCTCTGCCAAGTCTGTAGGATGACCAGGGGCATTGTCTAATACCAGGAGGTACTTAAGGTCTAATTTCTTTTCAGTTAGGTAATTTTTCACAGTGGGGGCAAATGCTTGGTGTAACCAGTCATAGAAAAAGTCCCTAGTGACCCATGCCTTACTGTTTGCCCTCCACAGCACACACAAATTAGCCTTGAGGACATTGTTTTTCCTGAACACTCTGGGAGTTTCAGAGTGATACACCAATAAAGGCTTCACTTTGCAATCACCACTAGCATTGGCACACATCAGAAGAGTAAGCCTGTCTTTCATAGGCTTATGTCCTGGGAGTGCCTTTTCCTCCTGAGTAATGTAGGTCCTGCTTGGCATTTTCTTCCAAAACAGGCCTGTTTCGTCGCAATTAAACACTTGTTCAGGTTTCAAGTCTTCACTGTCTATGTAATCCTTGAATTCCTTCACATATTTTTCAGCTGCTTTTTGGTCCGAACTGGCAGCCTCACCATGCCTAATCACACTATGTATGCCACTACAATTCTTAAATCTTTCAAACCAACCTTTGCTGGCCTTAAATTCACTCACATCACCACTAGTTGCAGGCAATTTCTTTACCAAATCGTCATGCAACTGCCTAGCCTTTTCACAAATCATCGCTTGAGAGATGCTATCTCCTGCTCTCTGTTTTTCATTTATCCACACCAATAACAGTCTCTCAACATTTTCTAACACTTGCGGTTGCTGTTTCGTAATCACAGTTGCACCTTTTGCAAGAACAGCTTCCTTGATTGCCGTTTTCCTGGTCACTATAGTAGAGATGGTTGATTGGGGTTTATTATACAACCTAACCAGCTCCGACACATGCACTCCACTTTCGTACTTTGCAATTATCTCTTTCTTCATTTCATAAGTCATTAGTGCCTTTTTTCTCGAAGGGTTGGCACTAGAAGCTTTCTTGGGGCCCAAGGTGACTTATTTTGCAGAAACAAGCACCAAACACAGTGATAATATGGATAATATGGAATGTACTGAATGTATCCTTAGATGCGCACACACTGGCTGGCTTGTAAACACTGGCACACACGGGGCAGTTCAGGCCACACGTGGACACGTCTTGTACGAATCGTACCGAATACCGGGTTTTCAATTGAATACCGAGGCAAATTTTTTGCGATATAATGCATCAAATACTGATGCCATCGAATACCTGGGGTCCACTGTACTCAGCTGCAATGCCAAAAGGCTTTTAATTCAAGAAATGGGAGTGATTCCCTTTCTTCATCAAACCTGATTACCTTCTATTTCCCTAAATGACCCTTACAGGTTTACTGCTTCACCCTGAATGTAATACTAATACAGCCTCTCCTCACTTAATGGCAGAGTTCCGGTCTTAAGACCACGTCTGTAAACAAATTTGTCGCTAAGTGAAGAGCATGCTATAATGGTAGTGGGTTTGTGTCAATCATCTTTGATGTTGTTTTAACGTCACCTTCGCTCATTTATAACATTTCTGGTATAGTGTATTTTTAAATGTTCGTGCAGTAGTGTACTGTATATTGTAACAAACAGAATAGAGGAAATCAGCTCTAATATACATACATTATTTAGGTATGCATACTGGTCAGAGAGCCTGTCATAAATCTGAGTCATAGGTAAATGAGTATGACGTTAAGTGAGAAGAGGCTGTATTGAAATAATCAAGAGAATTATTTTAACTACAGCTTCTCCTCATTTAACGATGTACTCATTGACCGATGCCTCAGACTTATGATCAGCATGCATACCTAAACAATGAATATCAGAGCTGATTTTCTCTATTCTGTTAATTACAATATGCAGTAGACTACTGTATGAACATTTAAAATATACCAGAAATGTTATAAATGGTGCAAATGCGACATTAAAACAATATCAGAGATGGCTGACAGAAACCCACTACCATTATAGTATGCTTCTCACTTTGTGACAAATTCGTTTACCAACGTGGAGGAGAGGCTGTATATGTCACAATGTGACACTTGGTTACATCTTGTTGTGGTTAGATATAGAATATTAATTACAGTATATTAACTAGTTGCAGGTCAGATGGTCACTTGAACTGTGATGTCTTTGCACTTCTGGCAAGACAGCTGCTGAATGAGTGATAGTTAACGTGTTTTCCTTTTGGGCCATCCCACCTCAGTGGGATACGGTTGGTACGTTGAAAGAAGAAAGATATACTATATGCTTAATAATTTGCATACAGTATATTACTCCATGGGGAAGTGGAAAAGAATCCTTCCTCCATAAGCTATGTGTCATAAGAGGCGACTAAAATGCTGGGAGCAAGGGGCTAGTAAACCTTTCTCCTGTATAAATTACTAACTGAAAAAAGAAGAAACTTTATGTTTCTACTTTTTTTGGGTTACCCTGCCTTGGTGGGAGATGCCTGGTGATGAATTTGTTTTTTAACATGATGGCCATCTCCCACTGAGGCAGGGTGACCCAAAAAAAGAAACACTTTCACCATTACTCACAGTATCACTCTATACAGTATATTAATTACCTGCTGAAGGGATCTTCTGAGAAGTACTTCTGCCAAATCCAAGACGCCACAGCTCGAGAAGCAAGATACGCATAGTATTTTGCTCCATATCCAACTAGGTGGCCAAATCTGAGCTGCCAAGCCTGAAATATATTTTGATTAATTCACATCAAATTATCAAAATTTGTAGTATTCAAAATTTAACAACTTTGACAGCAATTATTAATAAGCTACAGTTTGAAAACCTGCTTGGCATTATCCTGTGGTACACAGCAGTCATATTGCTCTAATATGCCATGATACATATAGAACAACATACAGCTTCACAATTAAATCATATACATATTGGGGATGAGATGACATTTTGAACAAAATTATTACATTCGAGGAGAAGAGCTAAATCTGTATGGGTATGCTACAGCACCTGGGGACTGAAAGATGATCAGGTTTCATCTAAGAAAGAAGAGGGTGGCTCAAATTCCTTTGATCACGAGCTCTGCACCATCATCAAGGCACTGCCATTAACCCTTAAAGTGTCCAAATGTAGATTTACGTTTATATGCGTAGCACTCCAAATGTAGATCTACTTTTTTTTACATAAGCATGTAGAATAGAAAGTTCGCAGCGTTACACATGTGAACGTAGATCTATGTTTGGATAGTTTAAGCGTTAAGGAAATTTTCAGCAAAATGTCATGCAGTTTCATCTCCATATTGTGGGTTAGTTGTGATTGTTCCAGCCATGATACAGGGACTCACTGTTTGCACAAAAATGGCTTTAATGAAAAAAAACAGAGAGAGAGAAGCTAAGAATTAAGTACTGTAACAAAGTAGACAATGCAAAGACTGAATATTTTTTTTTTAATTTATAAGTACTGTAATGTACACCGTGGGTACTGAATTATGGGAGCTATAAAGAGCAGAGCATTGGTTGTATACAAAGCTGTCTGGTTAATCATTGTACAGTTAAGAAATTATTTACTGTACTGTAATTAAATAATTCAACATGGAAACTGCTCAGTAGTGTATTCACTGCATACACTTACAATACAGTGCCCAGTGCTGCTGATCTCCAGTTTCCCCACTGCCATACTGCCCATGTGATAGGAATTTATGTTCATATGTTGTGAATTTCTCAGTACAAAAATAAATACAATGAACCCTCAATTTAATGGACTTATAGAGGGGAGGGGATGTCAGTTAAAGCCAATTTTCCATTAATTCCAAATTTTGACAATATTTTTCCACAATCATAACAGTAACAGAATTCTGGATTCCAAGTATTGTCTGCCCACAGATGTTTTAGATTCCAAATGCTTTCTGCCCACAGATTTTTTGGATTCCAAATGTCTGCCCACAGATTTTTTGGATTCCAAGTGTTGTCTGTCCACAGATTTTTTGGATTCCAAATGTTTTCTGCTCACAGATTTTTGTCAGTTAAATCTAAATAGTATTAAATGTTGGTTCCTGAAATCAAGGTTTTACTATATAATGTTTCAACTAAAAAAATAATTAGTAACTTACAGTGTTTGGCACATAAGGAAGACCATAATACTGGCTCTGAACTTCCTCCAGTATGTGTGTTGTGGATGTGGCTGGGGACCAGCGATCCTTTCCATGATAATGTTGATCAAGCAGCGAGTAGAACGTCTGCAATAAGAATATAAATCAATATTACTAGCGCTGCCCTGATTTTTAATGAATTCACTTCAAAATGGGTAGAGCCAAGAATCCTATCATGGCAGATGCCTTGATGCAAATAAAGAGCTCTTGAAGCAAGCCATTAATAATAATGGTAGAATTACCAACAAATTGTTAGGTAAATGGACACAAATGCAACTAATGTGACATTTTATTATATCAACATTTCGCTCTCCAGGAGCTTTGTCAAGTCATAACAGCTCGACAAAACTCTTGGGAAGCAAAACATTGCCACAATAAAATGTCACATTAGTTGCACGTGTCCTTTTACCTAACAAGCCACATTAAACCTAATTACCTGCCATTTCCCTAACAATATATGACCCTAATGGATTTAGTACTTCTCCATATACATAGTAATGACACAGCCAGGCTGGCCATCAACCAAAGCTGAGGGGAGGAAAATGAGGGAGGAGGGGGGATTACTATTATATTCAAAGTCAGACAGTAAACTTGAATGGGTTACTGAGGTAGAGAGGAGGGAAAAGCTTTAGATGTAACACTCAGGAAATTACAGTACGTATTCTAGTTTGAATTTTAAATAAAGGGCTTTGCAAATATTTTTCCAAGTACAGTATGTTCCTAAATAGTGGATAATTTCTGTAAAAATTTTCCCCATGCTCAAAGGAATTTTTGAGCAACAAAGCTATTATTCATATTACTAACAAGAAAATTATTTAAAAAAAATTATACACCAAAAATGCACAATTAAATGAAATGCCCATTGTTTTTTATTTTTAATTAACACAACGGCCGTTTCCCACCGAGGCAGGGTGACCCAAAAAAGAAGAAAGACTTCCATCATTCACTCCAAAACTGTCTTACCAGAAGCAATCCACAGAATTTCAGCCCAGTTTGGAGTAGGAGCATAGATACTACAGTTTAGATGTCTCTCTCAACACAAATATCCCTTCCTTCAGAGTGCAGGCATTGTATTTCCCACCTCCAGGACTCAAATTTGGCTAATTGGTTTCCCTGAATCCCTTCACAAAATGTTACCTTGCTCGCACTCCAACAGCTTGTTAAGTCCCAAAAACTGACTGTAATGTGGGCTAATGGTATTACCATCATAGTATACTACTTCTTCTTTCAACAAACCGGCCGTATCCCACCGAGGCAGGGTAGCCCAAAAAGAAAAACGAAAGTTTCTCTTTTCAACTTTAGTCATGTATACAGGAGAAGGGGTTACTAGCCCCTCGCTTCTGGCATGTTAATTGCCTCTTATGATACGCATGGCTTACGGAGGAAGAATTCTGTTCCACTTCCCCATGGAAATAAGAGGAAATGTACAAGAACAAGAACTACGTATTAATAAAATAGAAGAAAACCAAGAAGGGTGTGTATATAAATGTACATGCAAGTGTAGTGTGACCTAAGTGAAAGTAGAAGTAGCAAGACGTATCTGAAATCTTGCATGTTTATAAGATGGAAAAAAGACACCAGCAATCCTACCATCATGTAAAACAATTACAGGCTTCCATTTCACGCTCACTTAGCAGGACGGTAGAGCCTCCCTGGGTGGTTGCTGTCTACCAACCTACTACCTAAAATTATAGTATACAAAGGGAATAAAAAATCTTTACATTTTCACTACAGGTCATTAATATATTATTATTATAATTATCATTATTCTCTATGGGGAAGTGGAAAAGAATCCTTCCTCCAAAAGCCATGCTCATCATAAGTATTTATTATTATTATCACACTGGCCAATTCCCACCATGGCAGGGTGGCCTGAAAAAGAAAAACTTTCACCATCATTCACTCTATCACTGTCTTGCCAGAAGGGTGCTTTACACTACAGTTTTTAAACTGCAACATTAACACCCCTCCTTCATAAGATGAGACTAAAATTATGAGAGCAAGGGCTAGTAACCCCTTCTCTTGTATAAATTACTAAATGTAAAAAGAAGAAAAACCTTATGAAAGCATTTCTTGTTTTATGGGTCACCTGTCTCAGTGGGAGATGGTGAGTATGTTAAAAAATTATTATATTATTATTATTATTATTATTATAATCATCATCATAAGGAGGTACCAAGCTCGCTGGAGTCGTATGGTATCAGGGCAATGAATTGTAAATCAACTTCAACCCAAGGAAAGGCTAACTTCAACTCACTGGATCAAGAGCCCTTAACCAACATCAACGTATCCTACTTGAAGGGATACAAAGTAACATAACAAACCTGAAGCTGCATTTCAGAGGCACCAAACACAGATTTGCTGGCCACCAATCTCTCAAGAAGTTCCTGGGGTATAACCTCTCCCGTTTTGTAGTGTCGAGCAAATGTGCCAAGCACTCTTGGATCGGTGGCAAAGAATTCCATGAGGATTGATGGAACTTCGGCAAAATCAGTGCTGCAACGTGTGCCTGTCACGTGCTGGTACTGGGTCCTGGCCGGAGAAAGTATGAAACAAATATAAACTGTTTAATAATGATGACTTTTATTATTATTATTATTATTATTATTATTATTATTATTATTATTATATAGTATTATTATTACTGTATTATTTTTAACCCCTTGACTGTCGCAACCCCAAATCCTGAGGTGTCTCCTGGTGTCGCAAAATTTCTGAAAAAAAAAAATAATTTTTTCTTATGAAATGATAGAGAATCGTTTCTCGATTGTAATGACACCAAAAGAATGAAATTTGATGGAAAACTGAAGGAATTACGCTCTCGCAAAGTTAGCGACCTAGGCGATATTTACGAATTGGCGATTTCACCCACTTTGAGCCCTATTTTCGGCTAATTCCATTGTTCCAGTTGACCAAACTCATAGCTATTTCTTTAGAACTTAATTTTTTCTATTAATTGAGTACAAGAAACTGCCCATTTACTGATTTCAACTACCTAATAACGTGGTTAGAAATCTGCAATTTGGCCAATTTCACAAAAATTAAAAAATATGACAATTTCAAAATAGGGCCCAGAATGAACAATGCAGACATTCCTGGCTCTAAAATAACATTTCCTTTGTTCATCAGTCACGTCTCCAGGCCCCTCTAAATTTTTATTCAAACAAAAAATAGAAGATTTACTGTTATGCAGACTACTGCAATATTGAAATAATTGTATAATAATGTCAACCCATTCATGACTGCATATTAGAATGGCTACTTGGATATTTATTGGAAAATGACATCATTTGTTTACTTTTGAACATCGGCAAAAATCAAACATTTCCCCTACTTTGAGCTCAATTTCAAGGTTCTTTTCATAGTAAAACCAATCAAAATGCCCTCTATTTCTATAATATGTTTTCCATTCTATGAAATGAGACCAAGAAAACAGGGATACAACCATAAATACTAAGTGAAAATAGACCACAAAATTGGCATTTTAATTAAAACAACGGTCGGAGTGTTTTTTTTTCTCATTATGCACTGTGTGCTGCAGGATTTTTTTTATATGGTGCACACTGACCACACAGGCCCATTCTCTCACATGTGGGCCTACCAGCTTTCTCCTGCTTGATTTGAAGCCACTAGAATTTATGAGTATATATACACGTCAAACACAGTGGCTCGTAAGACATATGTATACGACCGAAACAATCAAAGGGTTAAAATTGTAAAGCAAAATAGAATATGTTCAGTGGGCAGAAGTGCTCTAGGAATCTGAGCTACCTTCCCCTTCATTATATAAAATATGATAACCTCACATTCCCAGATGCTGTATGATTCACATGGGAATTCACTACAGCAGTGCTATTTCTACTGGTAATTCTGTTTATGCAATATATTGTATATATTTTTTTTAACATATTGGTCGTCTCCCACTGAGGTGGAGTGAGTGGACGCAAATGGTTTTTGGGACCTGATGAGCTGTTGGAGTGTGAACAAGGTAACATTTTGTGAAGGGATTCAGGGAAACTGGTTAGCTGGACCTGACTCCTGGAGGTGGGAAGTACAATGCTTGCACTGTACATTTGCCTTATGCAATTATATAGTGTGATTTACAAGGCATATTGAAAATTCTTATTATGAAGAACTAAATGTTATGGCCATGAGGACTGGAACATATCTGCAGCATAAAATGAGGAGGTACCTTTCTTGAATTAAACTTGATTACCTCCCATTCCCCTAAACACAATAATAATAATCAGCACTGTTACATGCAAACACAGAAGGTAACCACAGGATCCTGGACTTGAATCATGGAGGTAGGAAGCACAGTGCCTGTATACTGAAGCAGGGGTGGAGATAGGTTGCAGTTTTTGAACTGGAGTATCAGCATGCCTCTGGCAAGATAGTAAAGGAGTGAGTGATGATGAAACTGTTTCTTCTTGTTCAGGTCGCTCTGCCTCGGTGGGCATTGGCTGATGTGTTAAAAAAAATAGCATTGTATTGTTACTATTAATGCTCTAGGGATTTTAACTCACAGTCAACTAAAAATGGAAATATACCGTGCTAGAGACAAGCATAATGTTGATCTTTCTCTTTCTCTCCCTCTCTCTCTCATGGCTTTCTAGTAGTACTGTAATTACTATTCACCACATTTTTACCTATAAATATATTCTGCAAGTTTAAAATGTTTGGTTAATGTAAAACATAAAATTGCTTGTAACTCTCCTCACATTTAATGTGTATTTAAGCATTTTCACTTATTCAAAATATTCTTATACAGTGGTCCCTCGCTTTTCGTAGGTCTTGGCAATCGTAAATTTCGCCAATCATAGGGGTATTTTCGTATAAACATGGACTCGCTTTTCATAGGTTGACTCGCGAATAGTAGTTCATCCGGGACGCGTACGCACGGTGTGAGCTGGGGCGGCCTCCCTACCCAGCCAGTCTGGCATTGTTTACCAGTGAGTGAAGGTCCCCTCAAGTGCTTGCAATTACTAAATAAGCTACCATGGCTCCAAAGAAAGCTCCTAGTGCCAAGCCTGTGGTAAAGGTGAGAAATATGTACAGTGACAAAGTCTTGGGCCATTTTCGGGAAGTGTTAAAGAGACGCCAGAAACAGAGCTCTCTCCACAGTTACTTTGCGAGACAGGACTAGAGTGACTCTCAAGGTGGTCCTAGTGGCATTAAGAAACAGAGAAGAGAAGCAATTGGTACCTGAGGTGTTGCTCGAGGGGGATTCCCCTTCCAAACTGTAAACAATCCAATCTCTCTCCTCCTCCAGTCTCCCATACACTAAGAAGAATCTCCAATAAAGGTAAGTGTTATGCTGTTAATGTTTCATTCATCATTTCCCATTGTATTGTTTATGTACTATATGTATACTATATGTAAAGGAGGTTTTGTGGGCAAGGGGCTTGGACTTCCAGCAAGCATGCGTGAGCGTGTTAGATAGGAGTGAATGGAGACGAATGGTACTTGGGACCTGACGATCTGTTGGAGTGTGAGCAGGGTAATATTTAATGAAGGGATTCAGGGAAACCGGTTATTTTCATATAGTCGGACTTGAGTCCTGGAAATGGGAAGTACAATGCCTGCACTTTAAAGGAGGGGTTCGGGATATTGGCAGTTTGGAGGGATATGTTGTGTATCTTTATATGTGTATGCTCCTAAACTGTTGTATTCTGAGCACCTCTGCAAAAACAGTGATAATGTGCGAGTGTGGTGAAAGTGTTGAATGATGATGAAAGTATTTTCTTTTTGGGGATTTTCTTTCTTTTTTGGGTCACCCTGCCTCGGTGGGAGACGGCCGACTTGTTGAAAAAAAAAAAAATGTATATTTCATGTAAAAAATTTTTTTGTTTTAAAACTTCTGGGTGTCAGGAACAGATTAATTGTATTTACATTATTTCTTATGGGGAAAATTGATTCGCAAATCGTAAATTTCGTTTATAGTAACGGCTCCAGGAACGGATTAATTACGAAAAACGAAGGACCACTGTATTAACAGGAAAATACGGAGTCTAAAGGAATCGTACAGCACCTGGGGTATGGGAGATAGTCAGCTCTGATCCACGGAAACAGGGCTCAACTCCAATTCTTTGGATTAAGAATCCACCAGCATCAAGGGCCCTTCTCTTCCTCCTCTTTCTTAAAGGGAATTACGTATAATGCTTTAAAATACTATACTTCCAGGAAAATACTACTGTATGAAGTACCTAGTACTTCCAGGAAAATACTACTGTATGAAGTACCTAGTACCTCCAGGAAAATACTACTGTATGAAGTACCTAGTACTTCCAGGAAAATACTACTGTATGAAGTACCTAGTACTTCCAGGAAAATACTACTATATGCAGTACCTAGTACTTCCAGGAAAATACTACTGTATAAAGTACCTAGTACTTCCAGGAAAATACTACTGTATGAAGTACCTAGTACTTCCAGGAAAATACTACTGTATGAAGTACCTAGTACTTCCAGGAAAATACTACTGTATGAAGTACCTAGTACTTCCAGGAAAATACTACTGTATGAAGTACCTAGTACTTCCAGGAAAATACTACTATATAGAGTACCTAGTACTTCCAGGAAAATACTACTATATGGAGTACCTAGTACTTCCAGGAAAATACTACTATATAGAGTACCTAGTACTTCCAGGAAAATACTACTGTATGAAGTACCTAGTACTTCCAGGAAAATACTACTATATAGAGTACCTAGTACTTCCAGGAAAATACTACTATATGGAGTACCTAGTACTTCCAGGAAAATACTACTGTATAGAGGACCTAGTACAGCAGAATCTTCATATCCACTGATTCAGTATTTGCAGTTTCAGTTATCCATTGTTTACTGTGGCCCAAAAATACCTCTTAAATTTGCATAATAATGGCCCCAAAGTGCAAAAGAAGAGAAGCTGGTAGTTCTTCAAAGCCTAAGAGAAGCCATGAAGTAAAGTAAAAGGACTCAAGTGCAACTAATGTGACATTTTATTTTGGTAACATTTTGCTCTCCAGGAGCTTTATCAAGCCATTACAAACAATACATGGACACAGAGGGTATATATAGGCTCAAAGTGATGTGCAATACTAGTGGTAGTAGTAGTAGTGATAAAAGTTGTAGTGGTAGTAGTAATACAATATGGTAGAGCAGTTAATTCGTACATGAGTAAAACGATATAAAAGCTATTACTTGGGTAACATAAAAAGAGGTTGGACAAATATAGACTGGATAGAGGCAGCCTGTTTCAGTGTTCACTCTCTGTAATGTGCTTTGTGTAGTATAACAGGAGAGACTATGTGATGGCAGGGTTTACTGTTTTCAGGAGGATTCTTGCTAAGGCTTCAGAGATGGTGAAGCTGCCATTGTTTTGTTCACCATCTCTGAAGCCTTAGCAAGAATCCTCCTGAAAACAGTAAACCCTGCCATCACATAGTCTCTCCTGTTATACTACACAAAGCACATTACAGAGAGTGAACACTGAAACAGGCTGCCTCTATCCAGTCTATATTTGTCCAACCTCTTTTTATGTTACCCAAGTAATAGCTTTTATATCCTTTTACTCATGTACGAATTAACTGCTCTACCATATTGTATTACTACTACCACTACAACTTTTATCACTACTACTACTACCACTAGTATTGCACCTCACTCTGAGCCTATATATACCCTCTGTGTCCATGTATTGTTTGTAATGGCTTGATAAAGCTCCTGGAGAGCGAAACGTTGCCACAATAAAATGTCACATTAGTTGCACTTGTGTCCTTTTACTTTACATATTGTCGGTAATTCTACCAACTTTATTACAAGCCATGAAGTGCTTCCCATCAGTGAAAAAGTGGTAATTCTCCATTTACTGGCAGATGTTGCAAGTGTATGGAACAGGCAGTTAGCTACTAAATGCTGTAGAGTTTTTATGAGGATAGTGAGGCTTAGGTTAGGTTGTGCAGGAGAGAAGGAGACTACTTCCCAGTAAAAGTAGGTCTTAGACAAGGATGTGTAATGTCACCATGGTTGTTTATCATAATTATAGATAGGGTTGTAAAAGTAAATGCTAGGGTGTTGGGGAGAGGAGTGGGATTAAATTATGGGGAATCAAATACAAAATGGGAGTTGGCACAGTTACTTTTTGCTGATGATACTGTGCTTTTGGGAGATTCTAAAGAAAAGTTGCAAAGGTCCGTGGAAGAGTTTGGGAGGGTGTGTAAAGGTAGAAAGTTGAAAGGGAAAATAGATAAGAGTAAGGTGATGAGGGTATCAAATAATTTAGATAAAGGAAAATTGGATATTACATTGGAGGGAGGGAGTATGGAAGAAGTAAATATTTTCAGATACTTGGAAGTTGACTTGTCAGCAGATGGGTTTATGAAGGATGAGATTAAACACAGAATTGATGAAGGAAAAAAGGTAAGTGGAGTGTTGAGGTATCTGTGGAGACAAAAAATGTTATCCATGGATTCAAAGAAGGGAATGTACGAGAGTATAGTGGTACCAACACTCTTATATGGATATGAAGCATGGGTTGTACATGCTGCAGTGAGGAGGTGGCTGGAAGCAGTGGAGATGTCATGTCTAAGGGAAATGTGTGGTGTAAATATTATGCAGAGAATTTGTAGTGTGGAAATTAGGAGGAGGTGTGGAGTTATTAAAAGTATTAGCTATATACAGTGGTACCTCGGGATACGAACAGCTCAAAACTCGAACAATTGTGTAAGTGCTTTTGTAAGTGTATTTTTGGGGGTCTGAAACAGATTAATCTAATTTACATTATTCCTCATGGGAACAAATTTGTTCAGTATCGGCACTCGAACAGCCTGCCAGAACGAATTAATTTCGTATCCTGAGGTACCACTGTATAGTCTGAGGGCTGAAGAGGGACTGTTGAGGTGGTTTCATTATTTAGAAAGAATGGAACAAATTAGAATGACTGGGAAAGCGTATAAATCTGTTGGAGAAGAAAGGCAGAGTCGGGGTCGTCCCCGAAAAGGTTGGAGGGAGGGGGTAAAGGAGGTTTTGTGGATGAGGGGCTTGGACTTCCAGCAAGCGTGCGCGAGTGTTAGATAGAGGTGAATGAAGACGAATGGTTTTTCGGACCTGACAGCTGTTGGAGTGTGAGCAGTGTAATATTTTGTGAAGGGATTCAGGGAAACTGGTTAGCCAGACTTGAGTCCTGGAAATGGGAAGCACAATGCCTGCAATTTAAAGGAGGGGTTTGGGATATTGGTAGTCATATCTGAGTGCCTTTGTAAAGACAGTGATTATGGATGAGTAATGGTGAAAGTGTTGAATGATAAAGTTTTTTCTTTATGAGTTTTTCTTTCTTTTTGGGTCACCCTGCCTCGGTGGGTAATGGCCAAATTGTTAAAAAAAAAAAATTATCAATTAAACTTTATAATAGGTATGTACGTATAGGCCTTATATATAGGGTTTGCTACTATCCATGGTTTCAAGGGAAATACTACTGTACAGAGTACCTAGTTACCTTGCAAGCATGGAGTGTAGTGCATGGCCCATCTCATGAAATAGGTTCTCCACCATACCTGGTGTGAGCAGCGATGGGCTTGACCACGAGGGTGATGGAAGGTTCAGGTGCAGCACAACTACCGGGTCCTGTTCACAGGACGAAATATCTACATGACCCCAGAGATATGAAGATAGCTTCTAAATTAACCAATTTAAAGAAGGCTCACAAATTCTGAACAGTCACATATACTGTTAAAATACATGAGATAATATTTTAACATAATCCTCCCTTTATCTTTCTTACATTTGTTGTATGCTAATTTATAATTATTAATATGTATGACACAAGCATATATTGTATTAAGGTATCATTTCATGTATGACACAAGCATACATTTAGGGCATCATTTTATGTATGACACAAGCATACATTGTATTAAGGTATCATTTCATGTATGACACAAGCATACATTTAGGGCATCATTTTATGTATGACACAAGCATACATTGTATTAAAGCATTATTTTCCTAAATTATACAAAGACATTGTTCATTACCTAGAGCACCAATAACTCGTTTGTTTTGATTCTTCATACAAACAGTAGAGGCATTAATTTCCAGAACAAACACTAGCAGAAACAATAATGCTTACCTGATATGAGCCATCAGCTAATAACTTGCCGCCTCTTATAGTAAAATGGCAGTCTTGATGAGCTTTTCCAGGTCGTTCATAAAAGTCACAATATATGTATCCCAACACTCCTTCTGTGGTGTGCTTCACTGTTGAAAGAGTACATTTTTATTATTTATTTTATTAACACGTCGGCCGTTTCCTAACAAGGCAGGGTGACCCAAAAAAAAGCAGAAACACTTTCATCATCACTCACTCCATCACTGTCTTGTCAGAAATGTGCCAACACTACAGTTCAAAAACTGCAACATATCTCCATCCCTCCTTCAGAGCGTAGGTAGAGTATTCGTAAAATTAGTAATGTTCAATATCCAGCAGACATGTGTGAATGTGCTGGATAAGAGTGAGTGGAGGCAAATGGCTTTAGGGACTTGATGAGCTCTTGGAGTGTGAGCAAGGTAACATTTTGTGAAGGGATTTTGGGAAACCAGTTAGCCAGACTTGAGTCCTGGAGGTGGAGAGTACAGTGCCTGCACTCTGAAGGAAGGATGGGCATGTTTGCAGTTTGGAGGAGCATATGAAACGTAGTATCTGTGTGCCTCTGGCAAGACAGTGACAGAGTGAATGATAGAGAAAATGTTTCCTTTTCAGGTCACCCTACCTTGGTGGGAGACAGTCAAGTGTGTTATGAAAGCTTTGAAATATAAATATACATATTTAGTATGTTGAGTATATTCACTTCTCTTATAAAGCTCCTCTATACAGTACCATTTTTTATAAATATGATTCAAAAAGTGCATCAAAAGTCGAGTACCACACACTATGAAGGCCTTCCCATGTGCTACTCAATATCTGATGTACTTAATCACATTTACAAAAATTTATAGTATACAGAGGAACTTAGTAAGAGAGCTGACTGTATAAGAAAAACACTTTTAAACAGAAAGTAAGTGTAAATTATTATTATAACTTTGACAAAGTGTTAAACATGCAGTTCCAAGAGGAAGGTAAGAAAACCAGGTTTAACCCTTTGACTGTCGTGGCCGTATATATACGTCTTACGAGGTACCGTGTTCGACGTATATATACTTGTAAATTCTAGCGGCTTCAAATCAAGGAGAAAGCTGGTAGGCCCACATGTGAGTGAATGAGTCTGTGTGGTCAGTGTGCACCACATAAAAAAAATCCTGGAGCACGCAGTGCATAATGAGAAAAAAAGACTCCAACCGTTTTTTTTAATTAAAATGCCTACTTTGTGGTCTATTTTCGTATAGTATTTATGGTTGTATTCTCGTTTTCTTGGTCTCGTTTGATAGAATGGAAAACATATTATAGAAAAAGAGATGATTTTGATTGATTTTACTATAAAAAAGAACCTGAAAATGGAGCTCAAAGTAGGGGAAATGTTTGATTTTTGCCGATGTTCAAAAGTAAACAAATGACATCATTGTCCAATAAATGTCCAACTAGCCATTCTAATATGCAGTCATAAATGGGTTGATGTTATTTATACAATTATTACAGTACTGGAGTAGTCTGCATAATAGTAAATCTTCTATTTTTTGTTTGAATAAAAATTCAAAATAGAAAGCAAGAGTATCAGAGGGGCCTGGAGACGTGACTGATGAAGAAAGAAAATGTTATTTTGGAGCCAGGAATGTCTGCATTGTTCATTCTGGACCTTATTTTGAAATTGTCATATTTTTTAATTTTTGTGAAATTGGCCAAATTGCAAATTTCTGACCACGTTATTGGGTAGTTGAAATTAGTAAATGGGCAGTTTCTTGTACTCAATCGATAGAAAAAATGGAGTTCTAAAGAATTAGCTATGAGTTTGGTCTACTGGAAGAATGGAATTAGCCGAAAATAGGGCTCAAAGTGTGCGAAATCGCCGATTTGTAAATATCGCCAAGGTCGCTAACTTCGCGAGAGCGCAATTCCGTCAGTTTTCCATCAAATTTCGTTTTTTTGGTGTCATTACAATCGGGAAAAGATTCTCTATCATTTCATAAGAAAAAATAATTTTTTTTTTTGAAATTCTGCGACACCAGGAGACACCTCAGGATTGAGGGTTGCGACAGTCAAGGGGTTAATCCAAGGGGAGGCTATCTCCAACTCCTTGGATCAAGAGTCCTTCACCAGTATCATAACCCCTTCCTTCCTTTAAAAGGGTAAGAGCACAGTACTTTATATTTGGGTCCACAACTGAGGTCTTCTTCAGCAGTCTGCTGGAGCATCTTGTTCACCATAAAATAAGGTAATTAGAATTAAAAGTCACAATACTGTGACTGGAACAATTCATAAATAACCCGCACACAGGAGAAAGAAATTTGTGATGTTTTGGTCCAACTTGAACCTCTGTGCGGGTTACTGGTGTATATGATTACTTTTTTATGCCTATTTATGATCAAGTGAACTCCCGATATAATAGACTAATGGGGAGGGGGTGTCTAAGCGTCTTAAATTAAAACAATGTCAAAAAAGATTAGCAAACCAGGGAATGAGTGGGGTTTGAGCTCATGGCAAGTGAGTCCTAAAACTCTCAGGCCAGTGTGTTATCCACTCAGCCAACTGGCCACTGTTTGTTTGCAATCGTGTTAAGATTTTACAAGTCGAAAATGATTAGTTATACAGTGGACCCCCGCATAACGATTACCTCCGAATGTGACCAATTATGTAAGTGTATTTATGTAAGTGCGTTTGTACGTGTATGTTTGGGGGTCTGAAATGGACTAATCTACTTCACAATATTTCTTATGGGAACAAATTCGGTCAGTACTGGCACCTGAACATACTTCTGGAGTGAAAAAATATCATTAACTGGGGGTCCACTGTATAAAAAACGAACATGCCTGCAAGTTTATAAATGTCACTGGTCCAAAGTTCTCCAGGTTGTGGCTCTTCCAGTTGCAGCATTACATCATAGAGATGAAAGAGGAGTCCACTGAGTCCCTCCATCACTGCTCCCAGAGAGAAGTATGGCATGAGATCATTTGCACTCACTTGGAACTTGTTTTGTCTAATTTGTCCGGTGAAGTATGGAACATCCCAAGGAGCCAGATCCTGAATACACAGTAACATAAAAACATAATTACAGTAATTCATTTGGATACAAAGGCATAATGCAAAAAAAAATTCTGGTGTAAAGGAGCATTTGCTGTAAAGCACTACACAGTAGGAAACTCTGCTACATCTAAATAAACATACATTTAATTCTACAAGATACAGCACATAGTTTTATAAGAGTGGATGACACTTCATAGTACCCATGGCAAGCCCATGGTTATGCAGGTTATGCTAAAACCTAAGACTAATAGAACATTCTTTCCTTTTCAAAACACCGACCATCTCCCACCATGGAAGGGTGAACTGAAAAAGAAAAAAACCCTTTACAAAGTTTTTCATCCTTTTACATTTCATAATTTATACAGAAGGGGTTACTAGCCCCTTGCTCCTGGCATTTTAATCACCTTTATGACATGCATAGCTTATGGGGGAAGGATTCTTCACCCCTTCCCCATGGAGACAATAGAACATAATAGACATCAACATTGCACAAATATGTTCAACATATGTATATATTATTTTTTTTATTTTATTAACACATCAGCTGATTCCCACCAAGGCAGGGTGGCCCGAAAAAGAAAAACTTTCATCATCATTCACTCCATCACTGTCTTGCCAGAGGGATGCTTTACACTACAGTTATAAAACTGCAGCATTAACACCCCTCCTTCAGAGTGCAGACACTGTACGTACTTCCCATCTCCAGGACTCAAGTCCGGCCTGCCGGTTTCCCTGAATCCCTTCGTAAATGTTACTTTGCTCACACTCCAACAGCACGTCAAGTATTAAAAACCATTTGTCTCCATTCACTCCTATCAAATATGCTCATGCATGCTTGCTGGAAGTCCAAGCCCCTCACACACAAAACCTCCTTTACCCCCTCCCTCCAACCTTTCCTAGGCTGACCCCTACTCCACCTTCCCTCCATTAGATTTATACACTCTTGAAGTTATTCTGTTTTGTTCCATTCTCTCTACATGTCTGAACCACCTCAACAACCCTTCCTCAGCCCTCTGGACAACAGTTTTGGCAATCCCACACCTCCTCCTAACTTCCAAATGACGAATTCTCTGCATTATATTCACACCACACAATGCCCTTAAACATGACATCTCCACTGCCTCTACCCTTCTCCTCACTGCAACATTCATTACCCATGCTTCACACCCATATAAGAGAGTTGGTAAAACTATACTCTCATACATTCCCCTCTTTGCTTCCAAGGACAAAGTTCTTTGTCTCCACAGACTCCTAAGTGCACCACTCACCCTTTTCCCCCTCATCAATTCTATGATTCACTTCACCTTTCATAGACCCATCTGCTGACATGTCCACTCCCAAATATCTGAATACATTCACCTCCTCCATACTCTCTCCCTCCAATCAGATATCCATCTTTTGTCACCTAATCTTTTTATCCTCATAACATTACTCTTTCCTATATTCACTTTTAATTTTCTTCTTTTACATACCCTACCAAATTCATCCACCAACCTCTGCAACTTCTCTTCAGAATCTCCCAAGAGCACAGTGTCATCAGCAAAAAGCAACTGTGACAACTCCCACTTTGTGTTTGATTCTTTATCTTTTAACTCCACACCTCTTGCCAAGACCCTCGCATTCACTTCTCTTACAACCCCGTCTATAAATATATTGAACAACCACGGTGACATCACACATCCTTGTCTAAGGCCTACTTTTACTGGGAAATAATCTCCTTCTTTCCTACATACTCTAACCTGAGCCTCGCTATCCTCGTAAAAACTCTCCACCGCTTTCAGTAACCTACCTCCTATACCATACACCTGCAACATCAACCACATTGCCCCCCTATCCACCCTGTCATATGCCTTTTCCAAATCCATAAATGCCACAAAGACCTCTTTAGCCTTATCTAAATACTGTTCACTGATATGTTTCACTGTAAACACCTGGTCCACACACCCCCTACCTTTCCTAAAGCCTCCTTGTTCATCTGCTATCCTGCTCTCCGTCTTACTCTTAATTCTTTCAATAATAACTCTACCATACACTTTACCAGGTATACTCAACAGACTTCTCCCCCTATAATTTTTGCACTCTCTTTTGTCCCATTTGCCTTTATACAAAGGAATTATGCACGCTCTCTTCCAATCACTAGGTATATGTATTTACAGAGATGAATAAACATAAGGGTGACTGAGGGGATAAACCCCACTGTCTGTAAATTGACAGTCCAATGCTCTATTCTCTAGGCATGAGACTGTCAATTTACGGACTGCAGTTGGAGCCCCTTATCCACTTTTCTGTTTATTCATTGATAGTTGCTTATTGCAACTTATTTTGAGTTCATATACATAGATGTTAAAAAGAGACATAGGATGAAAGTAATTCTAATAAATATAACAAACACATAAACTTGAGAGTAGATTGCATGTGTAGTATGGTACATGACAAAAAGAAAAAACTGAGTTTAATTCCAGCCAAATAAACTACATTCTTACCTGGCGTATACCTGGCGAGGGTTTCGGGAGTCAATCCCCCCTGCGGCTCGGTCTGAGACCAGGCCTCGAAGTGGATCAGGGTCTGATCAACCAGGCTGTTACTACTGGCTGCACGCAAACAGACATTTGAACCACAGCCCAGCTGGTCAAGTACTGACTTTAGGTGCCTGTCCAGTGCCTTCTTGAAGACAGCGAGGGGTCTATTGGTACAACTATAGGTACAACTTTTTTACATTAGGTGACAATTAATAGTTATTTACAAATCTAGAGAAAATTATTATTTTAAGCAATAAGGCAGAGTACAGTGTATTAAAAGAACAGTGTTCATATCTGTTTCTTTCATTCAAAAAATAATTTGATGATCTAGCTTAGTGAATAAACTCAGAACACAATGTAAGACAGTGTTTCAGCCTGTTGAAAGGTAAACCATACCCCCGGCCGGGATTGAACCCGCGGTCATAGAGTCTCAAAACTCCAGCCCGTCGCGACGGGCTGGAGTTTTGAGACTCTATGACCGCGGGTTCAATCCCGGCCGGGGGTATGGTTTATTTGCAATCGTGTCATTACGATTTCTTAAGTCATGTTGAAAGGTCCCGCTGTTGGAGTTAAAACAGAAATGGTAAAACTTAGAAAAATTTAGCAAACAATTAAACTGAACTGTGATATTGATGCATGTCTGGCAAGACATGCATCAACATCACAGTAGATGTTATTGTTTCTGTGGACACATCACAGTTGATGTTATTATTTCTGCATATTTATGGAAAGCACTAAAGAGTACAAGTTATACAATACAGCTAGGTCTTGATTAGTGTGAATAATGAATCCCATGGAGTGCTCTCATTATTCAAATTTGCACCATTTGCATTATACATATGTAATTTTTGTGTACAATTTGAAGAGTTTGGGGGGAAAACTAGAGTTAATTTTTCACTCAATCGAAATTTGCACTATCTGAACTTGTGCTAACTGAGACCTAGCTGTACTAAATATGTACTATGGTAAATGTGTTTTCTTCTTTGAGTCACCTCACTTTTGCAGGAACAGCTGTGTTAAAAAATAAGTGAACTTTTCTATGAAGACAGTGATGTCTGTATGATATTAATCCATGTTTCCTGATGCCGAAGTATACAGCACTCAGCTTGTATATACAGTAAAGTGGGTGCATGTGGCCTGTAATGACAACTGTAATGGATAGAGATAATGTTTGGCCATCATTGGAGCAATAACAGAATTTTGTAACCAACAGACTTTGTAGTTTTCGAATCATATGTCAACAGATTTGGTCCCAAATTTCTGAAGCCTAGTAAACCAAGTTGAGGGTTTACTGCAGTTCTCTGAGTGGGTCCATGTGTACTAGTACTAAAGGTCCTGGCACTTACAAACAAGTTGTGTTCCTGATTCAGTTTACAAGAACGTTTTGTTCCTGATTTTTCAATTTGCAAAACAAGTTTGCTCCTGGTTTGTCAACTTAGACAAGTTGTGTTCCAGTTTTACAACTTATGGACAGGTTGTGCTCCTATTTATCATCTTACAAACAAGTTGTGTTCCAAGTTTTTCCAACTTAGAAAAGTTGTGTTCCTGTTTTCAACTAACAATTTATTTGCATAGAAAACCATAGCACAAAAGGTAATATCCTTCATGTACTGCTGTAATTTTAATACCTTAACTGCTACCTAAGTGTCTTGTTAACAACTGTGATGTGTACAACTTTGGGCACTTGTAAGTCAGGGTCCTGCTGTAACTCTTAACTATGTCCTGCAACTTACCCTTGAACCGCTGTATTGGGCTTTTTTTACAGCGTTCATTTCAGTAAAATCTTCCTGTGCTCGGGGCCTTACGCTGTCAGCAAGATGTTTCAAGAAGTTTGTCACAAGTTCAGGGTTCTCTGCTAAACTACCATTAACAGCTCTGAAAAAAATAGGTACAGAGGGTAATTAAATTTGTAGTGGAGGGAAGGCAGGGTAGGGGCCATCCTAGGAAAGGATGGAGGAAAGGGGTAAAGAAGGTTTTGTGTACAACAAGGGGCTTGGACATACAGCAGGCATATGTGAGCATGTTAGATAGGAGTGGAGACATATGGCTTTTGGAACTTAGTGAGCTGCTGGAGTTTGAGCAAGGATGTGAAGGATTCAGAGAAACCAGTTAGCTGGGCTTGAGTCATGGAGGTGCGAAATACAGTGCCTGCATTCTAAAGGAAGGTTTTAGAATACGTATTTGCTGTTTAGAGGGACATCTAAACTGTCATATCTGTGTGCCTCTGGCAAAACAGTGATAGTGTGAATGATGGTGAAAGTGTTTATTTTTCAGGTCACCCTGCCCTGGTGGGAGATGGCCAGCCTGTTAAATTAAAAAAGAAATAAATACATATGAGGCATTGTTTATAATATTTTTATAATGATAATTATTATTATTTTTAACACACTAACTAGCTCCCACTGAAAGAAAAATGACCTGGAAAAAAAAAAGAAAATACGTGCACCTTCATTCATTCAGTTGCTGTCTTATAAGATGTATTGACATCACAGTTTAGATAACCCTATAAACAACATCCTCACCCCCTCCTTCAGAGTGTAGGCACAAATACTTCCAGCGTCCAGGACATAAGCCCAGGTAATAATCGGACTTGAATCCAGCACCATACTTCCAGCCTCCAGGACGTGAACCCAGCAAATTGGACTTGAATCCGGCACCATGCTTCCAGCCTCCAGGACATAACACAGCTAACTGGACTTGAATCCTGTTAGCTGTACTAAATCTACCCTCCTGCCATATTCTAGGCAGGAGGATAACTCCAATTCTTTGGATCATAAGCCCTTCATTAGCTTAAAGATGTCCCCCTGGAAGGGATGTGTCTAAAAACCTAGACCCTAAACAAACAACTTTTAGTTTCACAATATTTCACAACTAATCCACATCTTGACAAAGAAATTTCAGACACTGGTTTAGTCAATACTGGAACCACCAAGTCACACATTACTTGTGACTTAATAATGGTCCAAGAAGGAAAGAAGCTTGGTGTCAGTGAAAAGGACTGGGTTTAATTAGTACTTGAGGTATTTAAGGCAATTCATGGGTAGCTTTAAGAAAAGGATGGACACAGATGGGGTGGGAATGCTTGGTATTGAGAAGGACCTGCCTTGTATGGGCCAGTAGGTCTGCTGCAGTGTTCCTCAATTTTTATGTTCTTATGTAAAGTTTCATCTCCAAGTGTGACAGGACTCGCAGCAATGGCTTTAAACTGGAAAAATTCAGATTCAGGAAGGATATAGGAAAGCACTGGTTTGGTAATAGAGTTGTGGATGAATGGAACAAACTCCCGAGTAGTCATAGACGGTAGGCCGTTGTGTACAGTGGACCCCCACTTAACGATCACCTCCCAATGCGACCAATTATGTAAGTGTATTTATGTAAGTGCGTTTGTACGTGTATGTTTGGGGGTCTGAAATGGACTAATCTACTTCACAATATTCCTTATGGGATGAAAGTTAAGACACTTGTGCAACATCTGGTTATCTTTATTGTAGACGTTTCGCCATCCAGTGGCTTTATCAATACAAATTCTTGGACATAATTAGAAAACAGAAGGACTATATACAAAAGATGAGGTAATTAGTCCCTCAGCCTTGGAGGTGGTGTTTACAATACAGTGGTTGTAGAGATTCTGAAGCACAGGTAAGGAGACTGGCGCTTATATAGGCGTCAGTGAAGAGAGACGTGTAGCAGACGAGGGCATAGTCACTGGTAGGCGGGATTCCCCTGTGGAAGTAGGTCCTTCCCAAATTGTATTGTAACCTGTCTTGCACAACTTGTCAGGCACTGCAACATCATGGTATCTTGATTCAGAGGACATCTACATGACCTTCTTCACGACTTCTACAACTAGCCCATCAATTTGGGAAGGACCTACTTCCACGGGGGAATCCCGCCTACCAGTGACTATGCCCTCGTCTGCTACACGTCTCTCTTCACTGACGCCTATATAAGCGCCAGTCTCCTTACCTGTGCTTCAGAATCTCTACAACCACTGTGTTGTAAACACCACCTCCAAGGCTGAGGGACTGATTACCTCATCTTTTGTATATAGTTCTTCTGTTTTCTAATTATGTCCAAGAATTTGTATTGATAAAGCCACTGGATGGCAAAACGTCTACAATAAAGATAACCAGATGTTGCACAAGTGTCTCAACTTTCATCTTGTCGATATTGTATACCTGTCTTGCATCCCTTATGGGAACAAATTCGGTCAGTACTGGCACCTGAACATATTTCTGGAATGAAAAAATATCGTTAACTGGGGGTCCAGTGTAGTTTTAAAAATGGGTTGGATAAATACATGAGTGGGTGTGGGTTGGTGTGAGTTGGACCTGACTAGCTTGTGCTACTAGGTCGGATATTCTGCTTCTCCTTTAAGTGATGTGTCTGACCTCACTAGGTCAAGGCATTGGCTCAAGCTGGTACGAGAATTGGAGCTGCCTCACAAAGGCCAGTAGGCCTGTTGCAGTGTTCCTTCTTTCTTATGTTCTTATGACTTATTCTTCATTTTCATGAAACTGCAGAATCTCATTTCACTTTACCTAATCAGCTAGGCTGTGGTGCCTACAGTAGATTGCATACCATCAACCAGGAAAGCTGGCCTAAGACTGGATGACAGAAGCAATGAACCCAGGAATCTACAAGAGGTATACCTCAGATACAGTACAGTGTTTATGAGTATAAGATTCACTAACCTGTGAGCATAAGAGGGAAAGCCACATATGGTTGCCATCTCATGCCTTTCATTAATCATATCCATGAGAAGAGTTTCCTGATGTGGGTCAGGGTGGAGGTATATCTTATATGCAGCCTCTCGTGTCATCTCTGTATGAGAATCTGCATACAAGCCCGTCACCAGAATATTGTCCCCGTCGATGGTGAAGCTGGAAAAATTAGCATAGTTGAGTTCGGCTTTATTTTTCTAACACTGGCCATCTCTCCCAAGGAAAGATGACCCAAAACAGAGGAAGCACACTCACAATCACTCACTCAATCACCAACTTGCCACAAGTGTTCAGACATCACAGTTCAGATGGCTCTCCAAACTGTGACATCCTCACCCGTCCTTCACAGTACAGGCACTGTATTTTCCACCTATCATAAAGAAAAGGGCAGCAGCACACTGCTTATATATCAGATTTTATTAAATGAAAAAACTCCCACCTCCAGGATGCAAGTCTAGATAACCAGTTCCCCTGAATCTCTTCATAAATGTTACCTTGCTTACACTATAACAAAATGTCAAGCAAGAACAAAGAAGAACAAAAGTGTGGCTGGAACAATACACAAATAACCTGTGCAGTGTGACTTGAAAATGGTCAAAGTTGGACCAAAACACTGTCATGATCTTCTCTCTCTCTTACATGCAAGTTATTTATGTATAATGTCAAGTTATAAAACCACCTGATTCCACTCCAACCTACCATAATCACACAAGCCTACTGGAGGTTCTTATTATGATAGCCTGAGTGGGCTTAATAGTGGCCATGGTCCTGCAAGACATCTATTACAGTGCTCCTCAACTTACAATGGTTCGACTTAGGATATTTTATCTTTACGATGGTCCAAGAGTAATTACTTTGGAGATGAAACTTAAGATAATTACCCAGCATAGAAGTGGCAAGTCCATAACTTCTTTCTTTCTTTCAACACATCAGCCGTATCCCACCGAGGTGGGGTGGCCCAAAAGGAAAAACGAAAGTTTCTCCTTTTACATATAGTAATATATACAGGAGAAGGGGTTACTAGCCCCTTGCTCCTGGCATTTTAGTCGCCTCTTACGACACGCATGGCTTATGAAGGAAGAATTCTGTTCTACTTTTCCATGGGAATAAGAGGAAATAAACAAGAACAAGAACTAGTAAGAAAATAAAAGAAAACCCAGAGGGGTGTGTATATATATGCTTGTACATGAAAGTGTAGTGTGACCTAAGTGTAAGTAGAAGTAGCAAGATGTACCTGAAATCTTGCATACTTATGAGACAGAAAAAAGACACCAGCAATCCTACCATCATGTGCAGGCTTTCTTTTTACACTCACTAGGCAGGACAGTAGTACCTCCCTGGATGGTTGCTGTCTACCAACCTACTACATACTAAAAGGATTAAACTTCCAAAACAGAGTGAGAACAGGACCTGGGAAGCATCAGAACTCCGACAGTTGAACTTTTCAATACCAGTATTTAGTTACAGTAATTATTTGTCTAACTTATTCAATGATGGTAATTATTTATTTACTTATTTATTTACTTAGCTGTTGGAGTGTGAGCAGGGTAATATTTTGTGAAGGCATTCAAGGAAACCTATCAGCCAGACTTGAGTCCTGGAAATGGGAAATACGTACAATGCCTGCACTTTAAAGGAGAGGTTTGGGGTATTGGCAGTATGGAGGGACATGTAAACTATCATATCTGTGCACCTCTGCAAAGACAGTGATTATGTATCAGTGATGGTGAAAGTGTTGAATGATGATGAAAGTTTTTTCTTTCTTTTTGTTTTTTTTCTTTTTTGGGTCACCCTGTCTTGGTGGGAAACAACCAACGTGTTAAAAAAAAAAGTCATATTCGACTTACGATATTTTCAACTTACGATGGGTTTGTCAGAACGTAACCCCCACTGTAAGTCAAGGAGCACCTGTACATAAAGCCAAGACACCTGTGTAAAATGATGTAGCCAAACTTACTGTTGTCTAATACTTTCAGGCAGTTTAACCTTGGGTATGGCTCTAGGTTGAAGAGAACCATTCATGAAGTGTTGACCAAGTGTGAGTATTGACTCATTAAGACTCACAACACGCTGACGCTGTGCCTCATCCAAATGGATGCCTGCAAGATCAAAAAATAATTATATACAGTAGAGGATTATTTATCTGGGGATCAGTTATTTAGTTAACTAACAATAACTTATATTATTATTTATAATGAGTGCCTAAAGTCCTAAACAGATAATGAGGAAAAGGAATTGGTAAACAACAGAAATCATATAACATTATACATGTACATTTATCTGGTGTTTATGGAAATGAGGCTCACCCTCTTCCTGAGGGCACAGGATGACCGGCATCTACTGCAAATAACAACATAATTTATGAAGGGATTTGGAGAAACCGGTTAGCCAGACTTAGGTTCTGGAGATGGGAAGTATAGTGCCTGTACTCTGAAGGATAGGTGAGGATGTTGCAGCTTGGAGAGTCATCTAAGCTGTGATTTTAACACATTTCTGGCACGACAACAACTGAATGAATGATGGTGAATTTTATTTCTTTTTACTGATCCCCCTACCTAGGTGAAAGATACCTGGTAAGTTAGAAAATATACAGTATATATATTACCAGCATAATTTTTTTTTTTTTCAACAAGTTGGCCGTCTCCCACCGAGGCAGGGTGACCCAAAAAGAAAGAAAATCCCCAAAAAGAAAATACTTTCATCATCATTCAACACTTTCACCTCACTCACACATGATCACTGTTTTTGCAGATGTGCTCAGAACACAACAGTTTAGAAGCATATACGTACAGTGGAACCTCAAAAATCGAACTGCTCCCAACTCAACAAATTATGTAAGTGTATATTTGTAGGTGCTTTTATAAGTGTATTTTTGAGGGTCTGAAATGGACATATCTAATTTATATTATTCCTGATGGGAATAAATTCGTTTGGTAGCGACACTTGAACAGCCTTCTGGACCGAAGAAAGTTCTATATTTGAGGTTCCACTGTACGTATAAAGATACACAACATATCCCTCCAAACTGCTAATATCCCAAAACCCCTCCATTAGAGTGCAGGCACTGTACTTCCCATTTCCAGGACGCAAGTCCAGCTATATAAAAATAACCGGTTTCCCTGAATCTCTTCACTAAATATTACCCTGCTCACACTCCAACAGATCGTCAGGTCCCAAATACCATTCGTCTCCATTCACTCCTATCGAACACGCTCATGCACGCCTGCTGGAAATCCAAGAACCTCGCCCACAAAACCTCCCTTACCCCTTCCTTCCAACCTTTTCGAGGACGACCCCTACCCCGCCTTCCTTCTCCTACAGATTTAAATGCTCTCCATGACATTCTACTTTGATCCATTCTCTCTAAATGACCAAACCACCTCAACAACCCCTCCTCAGCCCTCTGACTAATACTTTTATTAACTCCACACCTTCTCCTAATTTCCACACTCCAAATTTTCTGCATAATATTTACACCACACATTGCCCTTAGACAGGACATCTCCTTTGCCTCCAACCGCCTCCTCGCTGCTGCATTCACAACCAAAGCTTCACACCCATATAAGAGTGTTGGTACTACTATACTTTCATACATTCCCTTCTTTGCATCCATAGATAACGTTTTTTGACTCCACATATACCTCAATGCACCACTCACCTTTTTTCCCTCATCAATTCTATGATTAACCTCATCCTTCAAAAATCCATCCACCGACACGTCAACTCCCAAGTATCTGAAAACATTCACTTCTTCCATACTCCTCCTCCCCCCCAATTTGATATCCAATTTTTCTTTATCTAAATCATTTGATACTCTCATCACCTTACTCTTTTCTATGTTCACTTTCAACTTTCTACCTTTACACACACTCCCAAACTCATCCACTAACATTTGCAATTTATCTTTAGAATCTCCCATAAGCACAGTATCATCAGCAAAAAGTAACTGTGTCAATTCCCATTTTGTATTTGATTCCCCATAATTTAATCCCACCCCTCTCCTGAACACCCCAGCATTTACTTCTTTTACAACCCCATCTATAAATATATTAAGCAACCATGGTGACATTACACATCCCTGTCTAAGACCTACTTTTACTGGGAAGTAGTCTCCCTCTCTTCTACACACCCTAACCTGAGCCTCACTATCCTCATAAAAACTCTTTACAGCATTTAGTAACTTACCACCTATTCCATATACTTGCAACATCTGCCACATTGCTCCCCTATCCACTCTATCATATGCCTTTTCTAATTCTATAAATGCAATAAAAACTTCCCTACCTTTATCTAAATACTGTTCACATATATGCTTCAATGTAAACACTTGATCTACACATCCCCTACCCACTCTGAAACCTCCTTGCTCATCCACAATCCTACATTCTGTCTTACCTCTAATTCTTTCAATAATAACCCTACCGTAAGCTTTTCCTGGTATACTCAATAAACTTAATCCTCTATAATTTTTACAATCTCTTTTGTCCCCCTTCCCTTTATATAAAGGGACTATACATGCTCTCCGCCAATCCCTAGGTACCTTCCCCTCTTTCATACATTTATTAAGCAAAAGTACCAACCACTCCAACAATATATCCCCCCCTGCTTTTAACATTTCTATCATGATCCCATCAGTTCCAGCTGCTTAACCCCTTTCATTCTACGTAATGCCTCACGTACCTCCCTCACACTTACATTCTGCTCTTCTTCACTCCTAAAAGATGGTATACCTCCCTGGCCAGTGCATGAAATTACCGCCTCCCTTTCTTCCTCAACATTTAAAAGTTCCTCAAAATATTCTTGCCATCTACCTAATACCTCCCTCTCCCCATCTACTAACTCCCACTCTATCATCTGCTCTCCTTTTGCACTCTCTCACCACTCTCTTCACCTTTCTTTTACTCCCCATATACTCTGCTCTTCTTATAACACTTCTGCTTTGTAAAAACCTCTCATAAGCTAACTTTTTCTTTTTTATCACACCCTTTACTTCATCATTCCACCAATCACTCCTCTTTCCTCCCACACCCACCCTCCCATATCCACAAACTTCTGCCCCACATTCTAATAATGCATTTTTAAAACTCATCCAACCCTCTTCAACCCCACCACTACTCATCTTTGCACTAGCCCACCTTTCTGCCAATAGTCGCTTATATCTCACCCGAACTTCCTCCTCCCTTAGTTTATACACTTTCACTTCCCTCCTACTTGTTGTTGCCACCTTCCTCTTGTCCCATCTACCTCTTACTCTAACTGTAGCTACAACTAAATAATGATCCGATATATCAGTTGCCCCTCTATATACATGTACATCCAGGAGCCTACCCATTAACCTTTTATCCACCAATACATAATCTAACAAACTACTTTCATTATGTGCAACATCATACCTTGTATATTTATTTATCCTCTTTTTCATAAAATATGTATTACTTATTACCAAATCTCTTTCTACACATAGCTCAATTAAAGGCTCCCCATTTACATTTACCCCTGGCACCCCAAATTTACCTACTACTCCCTCCACAACATTTTTACCCACTTCAGCATTGAAATCCCCAACCACAAGTACTCTCACACTTGGTTCAAAACTCCCCACGCATTCACTCAACATTTCCCAAAATCTCTCTCTCTCCTCTACACTTCTCTCTTCTCCAGGTGCATATACACTTACTATAACCCACTTTTCACATCCAACCTTTATTTTACTTCCCATAATCCTTGAATTAATACATTTATAGTCCCTCTTTTCCTGCCATATCTTATCCTTCAACATTATTGCTACTCCTTCTTTAGCTCTAACTCTATTTGAAACCCCTGATCTAATCCCATTTATTCCTCTCCACTGAAACTCTCCTACCCCCTTCAGCTTTGTTTCACTTAAAGCCAGGACATCCAGCTTCTTCTCATTCATAACATCCACAATCATCTCTTTCTTATAATTTGCACAACATCCACGCACATTCAGACTTCCCACTTCGACAATTTTCTTCTTCTTATTCTTTTTAGTAATCTTTACAGGAAAAGGGGTTACTAGCCCATTGTTCCCAGCATTTTAGTTGACTTTTACAACACGCATGGCTTATGGAGGAAAGATTCTTATTCCACTTCCCCATGGATATAAAAGGAAAAGTAATAAGACAAAGAACTATTAAGATAAAATCAAAGAAAACTCAGATGAGTGTGTATAAATAAACATGTACATGAATGTGTAGTGTGACCTAAGTGTAAGTAGAAGTAGCAAGACATATCTGTAATCTTGCATATTTATGAGACAGACAAAAAAAAACACCAGCAATCCTACCATCACGTAAAACAATTACAGGCTTTTGTTTTACATTCACTTGGCAGGACGGTAGTACCTCCCTGGGTGGTTGCTGTCTACCAACCTACTACCAGCATAATATACAAGTAAAAGAGCAAATATAAATGTGCAGAATAAAAAAATAGATGTGAGTGAAGTTGTAGCATTTTCTATGAAGAGTTTTGCTGGATTTGTAATTGCATTTCAAGAATTGGTAAACCCATGTAGGTTATTCAGCACAAAGAGTGGTAGAGGAGTCAATCCTCTATTTGCTAACTGCTTTTTAGTGCTTTGCACACTAAAATTTACCTAACTGTTCAAAGTCAAAGAGGACTAGCAAATCAAAGCTGTTCAAAGTCATGACTCACAAAATCATAATATGAATGCAAACAAATCCTGGAACAGCTTTGTACGGACTTGAGCTAGAGTACGCCACAGCCACGCTGGTGTGGGATTTGTCTGTAAAAACCTGTATTTGTAATCACAGTGGTGGCCCATGTAAACCTCCCTATAATGTATAAAAATATACCTAATTGATGAGTCTTATTAGAGCCAGTTGGCCCAGTGGTTAATGCACTGTCCTGTGAGTTTTAAGACTCACTTACTATTAGATCAAACTCCACCTGTTCCCTGATTTGTTCAAAGTCAAAGAAGATCAGCAGACAAAAGCTTACCTGACTGTCCAAAGTCAAAGAAGACCAGAGACCAAAGCTTACTAGACTGTCTGAAGTCAACGAAGACCAGCAGACTAAAGCTTACCTGACTGTTCAAAGTCAAAGAGGAACAGCCTGGCCACGTGCTTATCAACCTCGGTAGTAGGAACCTTATCACCGTGAACAACAACATTTCTTAAAGACTCGTATAGTGTTCTGTGAGTGTTTAACCTGAAAAAATGCACACATATAGAACTGATGCCAAATACATTGGAATACAGCACATTAACCATAGATGTCTAAATTATATTGTAATCATTTTTTTTAGAAATGCTATGAAACCAATTTCACTACAATGGTAATTTCTACTTTAACACATCAGTCATCTCCTGAGGCAGGGTGACTCAAAAAAGAAACACTTTAAATGGCAAATAACAGAAAATGGTTAAGCAACTACAGTACATTAATAGTTAATAACAACTAACCTACAACTTCAAGAGGAATCTATAGATAATGTTATGGTCCACCAAGATTTTTTAGTACAAATATCAAAAGAGGCCAAAACTTTAAACTAATAAAAATACTGTATTAGTACAGAAAGAACTGCAAAATATTTTAACACAGTGGCAGATACCTATACTGTGATCCAATACACATTAATGAGTGTTAAAACTAAGTGAAACTTGCAAGCAAAGCTCTACTCCAGTAACTACAAATCAATTAAAAACTACACAAAATAAAATGTGCTTAATGTTCACACACACAAACATAATAAAACGTGCTGAATGTTCACACACAAATATAATAAAATGTACTTACTTTTCAACAAGTCCACCAATGGCAATGGATGCGTCCTCAGCAGAAAATGAATAGCGTGCTTGAGGATGAGCCATTCTAATAAACTCTGCCAGGTCAGCCACACGGCAGAGAGTATCTGACAAGTGATCGAACACCTAATAACAAAAGGAAACAAGAATATCTTCAAAGTTTGGACGCAATTATTGGACTACAGGTGAGATAGAGCAAGGAAAAACACTGTCCGAGGATGGAAAAGAGACACAGAGACGCAGTACAATGAGATCACTTATTGACGAAGTTTCACCCACAAAGTGGATAAAACTCAGTGAAACATCAATAAAGATTCATATTATACTGTATCTGTGTCTTGTTTTCCCCAGTGTTGGTATTTTATACTATCATTTATCTCCAGTATCTGAGGATGGAGCTGAGACTATTACAATATACGTATATAATAAGGAGAACATGTTTCCTTCATGATGTCACCATACCTTGGTGGGAAACAGCCCGAGGTGGTTAAAAAAATGAAGTACTACCTTCATATACTAGTTATTACAGTACTTAATTATTAAACTATTGAGTACAACACTTCTGTTTTGCAAGGAATTTCCTTTTGCAGCAGAGCAGAGAACAGAACAAGAAGAATAAGAACAAGAAGAAAAACAAGAAGAAGAATAAGAACAGAACAAGAAGGAGAAGAACAAGAACAAGAAAAATAACAACAAGAAAAATAAGAACAAGAAAAACAAGAACAACAACAAGAACAAGAATAAGAACAAGAAGAAAAACAAGAATAAGAACAAGAACAAGAACAACAAGAAGGACAAGGAGACACTTAGGATTATTAACCCACAAAGGGCTAGTAACACATGATAACTCAATAAAGCCAATCACTGTGGCTTATCAGGTCCTTCCCAGAATCAAGTCCACACCAATCGACTAACTCTCGTGGGGAGATGGAACAGAATTCTTCCTCCGTAAGCCATGCGTGTCATAAGAGGTGACTAAAATGCCAGGAGCAAGGGGCTAGTAACCCCTTCTCCTGTATATATTATTAAATGTAAAAGGAGAAAATTTAATTTTTTGTTTTGGGCCACCCTGCTTCGGTGGGATATGGCTAGTTTGTTGAAAAAAAATTATAATAGATTTTTTAATGCACCAGCAGTCTCCCACTGAGGCAGAGTGACTTAAAAAGATCAGACCCTGATCCACTGTGAGACCTAGTCACAGGTCAGGACAGGTATACTCCAGGTATACCCTGCTTCAGTGGGATACTGCCATTGCATTGAAAAAACAAAATACAGTAGAAGTCAGTCATATAAAGTATAAGAACATATTTCACAAGCGGGTACACTCACCTCAACCATTTTCCGTGTTCTATATGGTGAGCAACACTCTACCATTAAATCTTCGGCCTTATGGATAGCATTTTCTTTTAGTAAATAAAAACCCTCTGGTTCTTGCAGTTCTGGTAAACCAAACAAACCCTAGAAAAAAAAAGTTAATTTCAGGTACTGTACAGGACTTTATAAACAGTACTATAAATTTATTTTATGGTTCCAGTATAAATACAGCCTCTTCTCACTTAGCAATGTACTCGTTTACTGATGACTCGGACTTACAACAGGCTCTCTGACCAGCATGGATACCTAAATAATGTACAGTGGACTCTAGGTATGCAACCTGAATTCATTCCAGAAGGCTGTGCGAGTGCCACTCCATTTGAGTATCAAACAAGTACTTCCCAACCAATTTTCCGTTTCGCTGGCTGTTATCACTAATTGTCGTAGGCCCAATGGTGATTTATTTATACAATACAAAAAAAACAAAAAAAATGTGAAGAAACACAAAACAATTTACAGCGAAGTTCTGGCAGGTCGTATTTGTTTGGTCGAGTGCTGAGCCTTGTTCAAGTAGGAAGGTGGTCATATACCGAGGTTCCACTGTATATTACAGCCAATTTCCACTATTCTGTTTATAACAATATACAGTACATTACTGTATCACAAGTTATATACACTGATGGATCTAAACAGGAGTCTTTTGGCAGGGCTGCATCTGCTCTTGTTGCCACCTCCCTAGTTAAGAACGATAATAAATTTGTTGAGTTAGGCATAAGAATTAACAACTGGGCGTCTACACTGCAAACTGAATTGTTTGCAATCCTAATGGCGCTAAAGCTAACCTATGACACTGAGCTTGACTCTATCATCATTACTGATTCTATGTCATCATTGAAGGCTCTTGGCTCATATAATGACTCCAACAACATGCTCATTGGGGAAGCCAGGTATAGATACTCAAAAATTAGGGACAAAGGAATTAATGTACAATTGCTATGGATCCCATCACACATTGGATTACTCCTTCATGATAAAGTGATATGTTAGCCAAGAAGAGTATCAAGAAGAAGAATGTAGAATATAACTTTGGTATAACTGTGTCTAGCATTAGGAATAATATTAGGAGAGAAGTAAATAATGAAAATGATTGTTATAGGAATGCAGTTAGAAGCCTGAGTAGATCTATAACCCACTATGATAACATGAACGTAGATAAGTATGTTTATGGAGCAACTTGCAATGTGAACAGACTGACTGATGTTGTAGTGGCCAGGCTTAGGCTTGGTTACAAGTACTTCTGGCAGTTTGGGAGACACACAGATGATGATCAACTAAATGTAAATTATGTGATCAAGCATATGGTCCACTTTGAACACTGTGCTTAATTGTCCACTTATTGAGGAATACAGAGACAGACAGTATAATAACCTATGTGACATGTCAAGATATCTTATTAATGAAAATAAGATACCAGATATACTAAGCAAATTTCCTAAATTTGCTTGTAACAGATAAGTGAACTATAGATATGTAGATATAAATCCATATGTATTCCTGTTAACCCTTTGGGGCCTAGTTCCTAGGCCTTTTGTGTATCCATATGCTCTCGCGCTACCGTCCACAGGATGGATATGGGGTGCACAATAAACTAGCCACTTCGGTGGCAAAATCTAAATTTAAAAATATGCTAAAAATGTTATAAATGGTGCAAATTTGACATTAAAGCAATATCAAAGATGGTTGACACAAACCCACTACCATTATAGTATGCTCCTTGCTTAGAGATGAATTCATTTACCGACAAGGTCTTAGGAACAGAACTCTGTTGTTAAGTGAGGAAAGGCCGTACTATTTACCTGGAGTTTACCTGGAGAGAGTTCCGGGGGTCAATGCCCCCGTGGCCCGGTCTGTGACCAGGCCTCCTGGTGGATCAAAGCCTGATCAACCAGGCTGTTACTGCTGGCTGCACGCAAACCAACGTACAAGCCACAGCCCGGCTGGTCAGGAACCGACTTTAGGTGCTTGTCCAGTGCCAGCTTGAAGACTGCCAGGGGTCTGTTGGTAATCCCCCTTATGTATGCTGGGAGGCAGTTGAACAGTCTCGGGCCCCTGACACTTATTGTATGGTCTCTTAACGTGCTAGTGACACCCCTGCTTTTCATTGGAGGGATGCTGCATCGTCTGCCAAGTCTTTTGCTTTCGTAGTGAGTGATTTTCGTGTGCAAGTTCGGCGGGAGAGATACATGATCATATACACCTGGAAAATCCAGGTGTATATGATCATGTATCTCTCCCGCCTGCGTTCCAGAAAATACAGGCTCAGGAACCTCAAGCGCTCCCAGTAATTGAGGTGTTTTGTCTCCGTTATGCGCGCCATGAAGGTTCTCCGTACATTTTCTAGGTCAGCAATTTCACCTGCCTTGAAAGGTGCTGTTAGTGTGCAGCAATATTCCAGCCTAGATAGAACAAGTGACCTGAAGAGTGTCATCATGGGCTTGGCATCCCTAGTTTTGAAGGTTCTCATTATCCATCCTGTCATTTTTCTAGCAGATGCGATTGATACAATGTTATGGTCCTTGAAGGTGAGATCCTCCGACATGATCACTCCCAGGTCTTTGACGTTGGTGTTTCGCTCTATTTTGTGGCCAGAATTTGTTTTGTACTCTGATGAAGATTTAATTTCCTCGTATTTACCATATCTGAGTATTTGAAATTTCTCATCGTTGAACTTCATATTGTTTTCTGCAGCCCACTGAAAGATTTGGTTGATGTCCGCCTGGAGCCTTGCAGTGTCTGCAATGGAAGACACTGTCATGCAGATTCGGGTGTCATCTGCAAAGGAAGACACGGTGCTGTGGCTGACATCCTTGTCTATGTCAGATATGAGGATGAGGGACAAGATGGGAGCGAGTACTGTGCCTTGTGGAACAGAGCTTTTCACAGTAGCTGCCTCGGACTTTACTCTGTTGACTACTACTCTTTGTGTTCTGTTTGTGAGGAAATTATAGATCCATCGACCAACTTTTCCTGTTATTCCTTTATCACGCATTTTGTGCGCTATTACACCATGGTCACACTTGTCGAAGGCTTTTGCAAAGTCTGTATATATTACATCTGCATTCTTTTTGTCTTCTAGTGCATCTAGGACCTTGTCGTAGTGATCCAATAGTTGAGACAGACAGGAGTGACCTGTTCTAAACCCATGTTGCCCTGGGTTGTGTAATTGATGGGTTTCTAGATAGGTGGTGATCTTGCTTCTTAGGACCCTTTCAAAGATTTTTATGATATGGGATGTTAGTGCTATTGGTCTGTAGTCCTTTGCTATTGCTTTACTGCCCCCTTTGTGGAGTGGGGCTATGTCTGTTGTTTTTAGTAACTGTGGGACGACCCCCGTGTCCATGCTCCCTCTCCATAGGATGGTAAAAGCTCGTGATAGGGGCTTTTTGCAGTTCTTGATGAACACGGAGTTCCATGAGTCTGGCCCTGGGACAGAGTGCAGGGGCATGTCATTTATCGCTTGTTCGAAGTCATTTGGTGTCAGGATAACATCAGATAGGCTTGCGTTAACCAAATTCTGTGGCTCTCTCATAAAAAGTTCATTTTGATCTTCGACTCTCAGTCTGGTTAGCGGCTTGCTAAAAACTGAGTCATATTGGGACTTGAGTAGCTCACTCATTTCCTTGCTGTCATCTGTGTAGGACCCATCTTGTTCAAGTAGGGGCCCAATACTGGACGTTGTTGTCAATTTTGATTTGGAATAGGAGAAGAAATACTTTGGGTTTCTTTCGATTTCATTTATGGCTTTTAGTTCTTCCCGCGATTCCTGACTCCTATAAGATTCCTTTAGCTTAAGTTCGATGCTTGCTATTTCTCTGACCAGTGACTCCATACGCATTTCAGATATATTGACCTCTTTTAGCCGCTCTGTTATTCTTTTCCATCGCCTGTAAAGGGAGCGCCTGTCTCTTTCTATTTTACATCTACTCCTCCTTTTTCTTAGAGGAATAAGCCTTGTGCATACATCGAGTACCACCGAGTTAATCTGTTCTAGGCATAAGTTGGGGTCTGTGTTGCTTAGTATATCTTCCCAGCTTATATCGGTTAGGACTTGGTTTACTTGGTCCCACTTTATGTTTTTGTTATTGAAGTTGAATTTGGTGAATGCTCCCTCGTGACTAATCTCATTATGTCGGTCTGGGGCTCCGTGCATACATGTCTGAACCTCAATTATGTTGTGATCTAAGTATATTGTTTTTGATATGGTGACATTTCGTATCAGATCATCATTGTTAGTGAAGATGAGGTCTAGTGTATTCTCCAGTCTAGTAGGCTCTATTATTTGCTGGTTTAAATTGAATTTTGTGCAGAGATTTAAAAGCTCGTGTGTGTGCGAGTTCTCATCAGAGCTGCCTCCTGGTGTTATTACTGCAACAATATTATTTGCTATATTCCTCCATTTTAGGTGCCTTAAGTTGAAATCCCCCAGGAGCAAGATGTTGGGGGCAGGAGCTGGCAGATTTTCCAGACAGTGGTCAATTTTTAACAGCTGTTCCTGGAAATGCTGGGATGTTGCATCCGGAGGCTTGTAGACTACCACAATGACTAGGTTTTGGTTCTCGATCTTTACTGCTAAAACTTCCACTACATCATTTGAGGCATTAAGCAGTTCTGTGCAAACAAGTGACTCTGCGATGTACAGGCCAAACCCATCCCCCCCCTTTTGCCTGTTCACTCTGTCGCATCTGAATAGGTTGTAACCTGGGATCCATATTTCGTTGTCCAAGTGATCCTTTATGTGGGTCTCAGTGAAAGCCGCGAACATTGCATTTGCCTCTGCAAGCAGTCCACGGATGAAAGGTATTTTGTTGTTTGTTGCTGGCTTTAGACCCTGTATATTTGCAAAGAAGAATGTCATCGGACTGGTGGTATTGTTGGTACTGGGGGGGGGGATTCTTTTTCCGGCATTAGTATCTGTATCTGATGGTTTGGAGTGGAGGCCATCGACTGTGGTTCCACTCCAGGAATGACTGGATTTGGTGTATGATTTCTGCCATTTCCTGCCAGTTTTTTTTCCTTCCTGGCACTAAAAAACCTCACCCTCTTGAGTGGCTGTGGCTACCCAGGTTTTCCCATGGCCTGGATGTTTTGTATCTTTTTGTCCCCTTTAGATGGTGTGCCTAGCAATTTAAGTTATAGCACAGTCTTTCCTGTACTGAAGAGGTACACATTTCAGGGTGAAAAAGCTTACAGGAAGGGAGTTTGCATTTTCCTGTTGTCATATGGGCACGGCATTTTCTAGGGTGGTCATAGTTGCACGTCCCATCTGTTTTTCCAGATTTCCCATGCCTGCAGATACCAAGTGCATAGTATGTGCAAAGGCTTGGTTTCCATTTGCCTTGGGTTTCTGTGACTGTATTCCCTGTTGGTGCATGTTTACCTGTCTTATTCCTATCCTCACTAGCACCAACAATGGAGCTCTCACCAGTTGTTTTTTGGTAATATATCCTCACTATTTCTAGTGGAGTCCTCTTGTTTGCTATTTCCTGTGGTATTACTAGTTTGCAATATTGGTTTTATTTTATCCTTGACTACACTTGTTTCCCCACTGCAGCTCCTGTCTCCCATGAGGTAATTTATATGCATTCCCTCCTGCGTATATTTCCCGACTACCTGGACAAAATCTCCAGCTTCAAAATTACTGTCTCCCTGGACAGCACCTCCAGCTTCACCATTACTGTCTCCCAGGACAGCACCTCCAGCTTCACCATTTCTGTCTCCCAGGACAGCACTATCAGCCCCACATTTACTGACTACCAGGACAGCACCTCCAGCCTTACAGTTTCTGACTACATGACCAGTATCAAGGGCAGTACCATCCAGCCCAGACTTTTTATGTTCCCATCTGTTGTAGGATGCTTTCAGGTTTTCTATGACAGCAGCTTTGATGTTATCCTCTTTTAATACCAATGTGATTTTAGTCCACAGATTTATCTCATTTGGGAATACCCAAAAACACTTCCGTGATTTTATACTGCTTGTATCTAGTTCTTGGATATCTGCACAAGGGGCATGACACCAATTTTCACAAAAATGACAATTTATTCATGTGGAAGCCAGTTTGTTTGATTGACTGCAGACTACACAGAGCTTCATAATGATTTGGATGGTTGATTTACTGTAATTCTACTAGCAACCTCTTGAATACTCTATTAATAACCTCCTTAAAGTAAAGCTCTAGCTATTTGTATTTCTATTTCTAACTGTACTTGTATATTAGGACAGCTTACCGGTGTACGTTCGTTTTATATTTATTGTATTTACTGTATTTATAAGTCCTGAAAATTTACCCAGCGTCTTGAAGGCCAAAGTACCATTTATCTTTTTTTTTTTCCCAAATTTAGCCAGTCAGAAGTAGGGGTGCATCCTAGATGCTGAAGCTTCTTGTTGGCTGTAAAATATGGTATATAATTATTATAGGACTACACTGGTGGTAAATTATTCAGATTTCACATAGGATAACCTAACAGGCCAGTGTTGCTTATATCCATTAGAATCCTGATTTGTGCAATGATATGAAGGTACACCTATATTATTTATTTTTTTTAGTTGAAAAGTACTGTGCTATTTTAAATCTCTCTAAATGTTTACTATAAACAATTTTTATAGCTATACAATACTGATGAACTATGAAGAACCAACCTAGGATAATGCAACAATGCCAAATACTGTGGTATGATTTTTGTTTGTGGGTCCATTCACCTAGATACTGAAAAAAAAAAAATATACCTGTGCTTTAGTTTGGATGAACCTTGGTAACCAGTAATGAGTTATTTTAAATACCCATGTCTTAGTTTGGTATGAGCCTTAGTAATTGACACCTAGAGGTATTTTAAATACCTATCTTAGTTTGGTATGAACCTTGGTAACTAATAATGAGAGGCATTCTTAAGACATCTGAAAAAACACTCAAGACATATTTATTAGAAAAAGTTACAGTCCTGGGACCTTGATCAAGGTTATGGAACCTTGATCAAGGTTATAGGGCCTTGATCAAGGTTATGGGACCTAAACATTTTATTTCCTAATAAATATGTCCAAGAGTTTGCTCATGTCTTGATTTGCATGTTCACATCCATTACCACCATGAAGGAACCATTTAACCCTTCGAAAGAACCATTGACCCCTTAAAGGAAATACTGACCCCTTGCAGGAACAATTACTTCCTTGAAGGAACAATTACCCCCTTGAAGGAACAATAACCCCCTTGAAGGAACAATTACCCCCTTGAAGAGACCACCACCCCCTTGAAGGAGCCACTACCCCCTTGAAGGAACCACTACCCCTTTGAAGGAACCACTACCTCCTTAAAGGAACCACTACCCCTTTGAAGGAACCACTACTCCTTTGAAAAAACCACTACCCCCTTGAAGGAACCACTATCTCCTTAAAGGAACCACTACCCCTTTGAAGGAACCACTACCCCCTTGAAGGAACCACTACCCCCTTGAATGAGCCACTACCCCCTTGAAGGAACTGCTACCCCTTAAAGGAACTGCTATCCCTTAAAGGAACCATTACCCCCTTTTAAGGGGGTGATAATTCCTTCAAAGAGGTGATGGTTCCTTCAAAAGGGTAATGGTTCCTACAAGGGGGGTAATGGTTCCTTCAAGAAGGGGGGTAATGGCTCCTTCGAGGGGGTAATGGTTCCTTCAAGGGGGTAATGGTTCCTTCAAGGGGGTAGTGGTTCCTTCAAGGGGGGTAATGGTTCCTTCAAGAGGGTAATGGTTCCTTCAAGGGGGTAAAGGTTTCTTCAAGGGGGGATAATGGTTCCTTTAAGGGGGTAACATTCCTTCAAGAGGGTAATGGTTCCTTCAAAGGGAGTGATGGTTCGTTCAAGGGGGAGATAATTCCTTCAAGGGGGTGATGGTTCCTTCAAAGGGGTAATGGTTCCTTGAAAGTGGGTAAAGGTTCCTTCAAGGGGGTAATGGTTCCTTTGAAGGAACCACTACACTCTTGAATTATGAGGGAGCGCTAAACCCGTAGGATTATACAGTGCACGTGGGGGGAGATGAAAGGTATTCAGGCTAAATTCAAGGAACCGGAGCACAGATCCAATTCCCTAGATCAAGAGCCCCTCACCACCTTCAAGAAACCTCCCTTGAGGGGTACACTCTTGAAGAAACCACTGCCCATTCAAATGAACCATTACCTCCTTAAAGTAACCATTACCCACAACAGTAACCCACTAAACACACAACTCACAGACGTGCCCTTGGTGAAATTAAGAGAAAGCATTTTATTAGGCTTAGTGTTGAAGGTGGCAGCCAGAGAGGACCAAGTATGGACACTACAGCCACTCTGGCTGCTCACACACATCACTGGCGGACACAACCGATATTTCCCCATGGATTTCTTCCTCCAGCGGCCCCAGATTGACTTAGTTTTTCTTAGAAACAACATTTTGTTGGGGAACCACAAAAGACACCAGGTATTGTTGTTGTTGTTCTTAGTGTTATTATGGGTGTTAAGGGAGAGTGACGGCGCACCTCGTGTCCTCACCTGATGTCAGTCATCACACGAAGAAAAGTAAGTTTATTCAGGTAAACTAAAGTGTGTGTGTGTGTGTGTACTCACCTAATTGTGGTTGCAGGGGTTGAGACTCAGCTCCTGGCCCCGCCTCTTCACTGATCGCTACTGGATCCTCTCTCTCTCTGCTTCCTGAGCTTTGTCATACCTCTTCTTAAAACTATGTATGGTTCCTGCCTCCACTACTTCACTTGCTAGACTATTCCACTTGCTGACAACTCTATGACTGAAGAAATACTTCCTAACGTCCCTGTGATTCGTCTGAGTCTTCAGCTTCAAGTTGTGACCCCTTGTCCCTGTGTCCCCTCTCTGGAACACCCTATCTCTGTCCACCTTGTCTATTCCCCGCAGTATCTTGTATGTCGTTATCATGTCTCCCCTGACCCTTCTGTCCTCCAGTGTCGTCAGTCCGATTTCCCTTAACCTTTCCTCGTACGACATTCCCTTGAGCTCTGGAACTAGCCTTGTTGCAAACCTTTGTACTTTCTCTAACTTCTTGACGTGCTTGATCAGGTGTGGGTTCCAGACTGGTGCTGCATACTCCAGTATGGGCCTAACATACACAGTGTACAGTGTCTTGAACGATTCCTTATTAAGGTATCGGAACGCTATTCTCAGGTTTGCCAGGCGCCCGTATGCTGCAGCGGTTATTTGGTTGATGTGTGCCTCCGGTGATGTGCTCGGTGTTATGGTCACCCCAAGGTCTTTCTCCCTGAGTGAGGTCTGTAGTCTTTGTCCACTTAGCCTATACTCTGTCTGCGGTCTTCTTTGCCCCTCCCCAATCTTCATGACTTTGCATTTGGCTGGATTGAATTCGAGAAGCCAGTTGCTGGACCACATGTCCAGCCTGTCCAGGTCTCTTTGCAGTCCTGCCTCATCCTCGTCCGATTTAATTCTTCTCATCAACTTCACATCATCTGCGAACAGGGACACTTCAGACTCTATTCCTTCCATCATGTCGTTCACATATATCAAAAATAGCACTGGTCCTAGAACTGACCCCTGTGGGACCCCGCTCGTAACAGGCGCCCACTGTGATACCTCTTCACGTACCATGACTCGTTGCTGCCTCCCTGTCAGGTATTCTCTTATCCATTGCAGTGCCCTCCCTTTTACGTGCGCCTGATCCTCCAGCTTCTGCACTAATCTCTTGTGGGGAACTGTGTCAAAGGCCTTCCTGCAGTCTAGGAAAACGCAATCTACCCACCCCTCTCTCTCGTGTCTTACTTCTGTTACCTTGTCATAAAACTCCAGGAGGTTTGTGATACAAGATTTGCCTTCCGTGAACCCATGCTGGTTTTCATTTATAATCTTGTTCCTTTCCAGGTGTTCGACCACTCTCCTGTGTGTACTCACCTATTTGTACTCACCTATTTGTGGTTGCAGGGGTCGAGTCACAGCTCCTGGCCCCGCCTCTTCGCTGATTGCTACTAGGTCCTCTCTCTCCCTGCCCCATGAGCTCTATCATACCTCGCCTTAAAACTATGTATGGTTCCTGCCTCCACCACATCACTTTCTAGGCTATTCCATGGCCTGACTACTCTATGACTGAAGAAATACTTCCTAACATTCCTTTGATTCATCTGAGTCTTCAACTTCCAATTGTGACCTCTTGTGTCTGTGTCCCATCTCTGGAACATCCCGTCTTTGTCCACCTCGTCTATTCCGCGCAGTATTTTATATGTCGTTATCATGTCTCCCCTGACCCTCCTGGCCTCCAGTGTCGTCAGGCCGATTTCCCTCAACCTTTCTTCATAGGACAATCCCCGTAGCTCTGGGACTAGTCTTGTTGCAAACCTTTGCACTTTCTCTAATTTCTTGACGTGCTTGACTAGGTGTGGATTCCAAACTGGTGCTGCATACTCCAGTATGGGCCTGACGTAGATGGTGTACAGAGTCTTAAACGAATCCTTACTGAGGTATCGGAACGCTATCCGTAGGTTTGCCAGGCGCCCGTATGCTGCAGCAGTTATCTGATTGATGTGTGCCTCAGGAGATATGCTCGGTGTTATACTCACCCCAGATCTTTTTCTTGAGTGAGGTTTGCAGTCTTTGGCCATCTAAACTATATTGTGTCTGCGGTCTTCTTTGCCCTTCCCCAATCTTCATGACTTTGCATTTGGCAGGGTTAAATTCAAGGAGCCAGTTGCTGGACCAGGCTTGTAGCCTGTCCAGATCTCTTTGTAGTCCTGCTGATCCTCGTCCGATTCGATTCTTCTCATTAACTTCACATCGTCTGCAAACAAGGACACTTCTGAGTCTATCCCTTCCGTTATGTCGTTCACGTATACCAAGAACAGCACAGGTCCTAGGACTGACCCCTGTGGAACCCCGCTTGTCACAGGCGCCCACTCTGACACCTCGTCGCGTACCATGACTCGTTGTTGCCTCCCTGTCAGATATTCTCTGATCCATTGCAGTGCCTTTCCTGTTATGTGTGCCTGGTCCTCTAGCTTTTGCAGTAACCTCTTGTGAGGAACTGTGTCGAAAGCCTTCTTGCAGTCCAAAAATACACAGTCGATCCACCCCTCTCTCTCTTGTCTTACTTCTGTCACCTTGTCATAAAACTCTAGTAGGTTTGTGACACAGGATTTTCCTTCCCTGAAACCGTCCGTACTGGTTGTCAATTATACACTTGTTTCTTTCCAGGTGCCCCACCACTCTCCTCCTGATGATCTTCTCCATGACCTTGCATACTATACACGTTAGTGATACAGGTCTGTAGTTTAGTGCCTCATGTCTGTCTCCCTTTTTAAAATTTGGGACTACATTTGCCATTTTCCATATCTCAGGGAGTTGCCCAGTTTCAAATGATGTGTTGAAGATCTTTGTTAATGGCTCACACAATATCTCTGCTCCCTCTTTAAGGACCCATGGAGAGATGTTGTCTGGTCCCACCGCCTTTGAGGTGTCAAGTTCGCATACCAGCTTCTTCACCTCCTCCTTGGTTATATGTACCTCATCCAGCACTTGCTGGTGTGCCCCCCTGTTCTGATTTCTTGGAGTCCTACTGGTTTCCACTGTAAACACCTCTTTAAATCTTGTGTTGAGCTCCTGACATACCTCTCGGTCGTTTCTTGTGAATTCCCCATCACCCTTCCTCAGTCTGATTACCTGGTCCTTGACTGTTGTTTTCCTCCTGATGTGGCTGTACAACAGCTTCGGGTCAGTCTTTACTTTTGATGCTATGTCATTTTCATATTGTCTCTGAGCCTCCCTTCTTATCTGTGCATATTCGTTTCTGGCTCTTCGGCTGATTTCTTTATTTTCCTGAGTTCTCTGTCTTCTGTACCTTTTCCATTCTCTAGTACACCTAGTTTTTGCCTCCCTACACCTTTGGGTGAACCAAGGACTCGTTCTGTTCTTCCCATTATTTCTGTTTCCCTTGGGAACAAACCTCTCCTCTGCCTCCTTGCATTTTGTTGCTACATAGTCCATCATTTCTTGTACTGGTTTTCCTGTCAGTTCCCTCTCCCACTGAATGTCTTGAAGGAAGTTCCTCATGCCTGAGTAGTTGCCCCTTTTGTAGTTTGGTTTTTCCCAGCCTATTCCTGCTACTCTCTCCACTTGGAGCTCAACTATGTAGTCGAAGCACAGAACCACATAATCACTAGCTCCCAGGGGCCTTTCATACATGATACCCTCGATGTCCGAACTACTCATGGTGAATACAAGGTCCAACCTTCCTGGTCGTGTGTGTGTGTGTGTGTGTGTGTGTGTGTGTGTGTGTGTGTGTGTGTGTGTGTGTGTGTGTGTGTGTGTGTGTGTGTGTGTGTGTGTGTGTGTGCTTGTGTGGGTGTGTGTGCGTGTGTGTGTGTGGGTGTGTGTGAGGGTGTGTGTGTGGGTGTTGGTGTGTGTGTGTGTGGGTGTGTGTGTGTGTGTGTGTGTGTGTGTGGGTGTGCGTCCTTGTGTGTATGCATATATTTGTACGCTCGTGTGCACATGTCCGTGCGTGCGCCCTGGTGTGTGTATGTGTGTGCGCGCGCGCTAGTGTGGGTGTATGAACCACTTAATATTTGTATTTATAACTCATTACAAGTGTGACCAGGTGTGGACGTATTAGTGGTTCATTACTTTGTAATTTGTTCATGACTGTAACCATGTATAGGAGTGAAGCTGATTCATTACCTCTGTAACTTGCCATGATTGTGACCAGATCTACCTGGAGTTCATTACCTTTGTAACTAGTTCAGCTATCATAACTTTGGGGTCCAGTCCCTGGACCCATTATGTACCTTTGTAATCTTTTGACTACCGCCCACAGGATGGGTATGGGGTGCATAATAAAGATATTAAACTAAAGTGTGTGTGTGTGTGTGTGTGTGTGTGTGTGTGTGTGTGTGTGTGTGTGTGTGTGTGTGTGTGTGTGTGTGTGTGTGTGTGTATGTGTGTGTGTGTGTGTGTGTGTGTGTGTGTGTGTGTGTGTGTGTGTGTGTGTGTGTGTGTGTGTTGTCTGTCTGTGTGTCTGTCTGTGTGTCTGTCTGTGTGTCTGTCTGTGTGTCTGTGTGTGTCTATGTGTGTACTCACCTATTTGTGGTTGCGTGCGTGTGTGTGTGTGTGTGTGTGTGTGTGTGTGTGTGTGTGTGTGTGTGTGTGTGTGTGTGTGTGTGTGTGTGTGTGTTGTGTGTGTGTGTGTGTGACTCAACAATCAATATTTGCACCAATAACTCACTACAGTTGTGACCGGGTGTGGAAGTGTGAATTGCTCATTACTCTATAATTTGTTCATGATTGTAGCCATGTATAAACGTAAGTAACCATTCTTACAGTATTCATTACCTTTGTAACTTGTGAGTTCATTACCTTTGTACCTAGTTCAGCCATCAAAACTTTGGGGGCCAGTCCCTGGACCCATTGTGTACCTCTGTAATCTGTAAATACCTTTGTAACTTGTCATGATTGTGACCAGACCTACCTGGAGTTCATTACCTTTGTAAATTGTGAGTTCAT